TGCAGCATCATGCGGTTCAGCTGCCTCTGGCAACAAGGCTTCACGTTTGGCCCTTTCTCTAGCCGCTTTGGAGGCCCCCCGCCAAAGAAATGTTGGAATGTCCTTTGGTTTGGAGGAACCTTTATATCGCCTTCCCTTAAAACCACTAGCATCGTAGTATGAAGGGTCATCCTTTGAGATAAATTCTGATTTGCCAGTTTTGGGGTCAATAACTTCGATGTCATCAGATTCGAGTCCAGCTTCACGCATCAACTGTTCAAACTCCTCTTCGCCCTCCACCGGTCCTGGCTCAACAGCTTTCCTTGGGGCAACCAAGTCTTCAATTGTTTGAGCGTCCATCTTCTTTGGATCTGGTGGAGCATCAAGGCTAAGAGATTCATATAAACCTTCCCTAATGGCCTTGTATCTACCTTTCAAAGGATAAATGAATGGTCCATCAGGTGCGGTGAGTTGGTTGACACGAACGACTTGGACTGATTCGTTGAATTCCTTTTCATGAGATCCTTCAATGATGCTACAAGAAATTCATTTCTCCAAACGAAACCTGGTTGCATGGCATATCCCAAAAAGACACCTGGATTTGAAGTTGGGTCAAAACGCAAATCTTTCTTCGGTTTAAGTTTTGGTCCAGTCCAATAGTCAATGCGAGCCCCAAAAGGAATGTTGGGTCCCTTGAACTTTTCCCCAAAACGAAGCTCCCACGGAGATAAGATTTCAGGGTGGTCCTGGATGTTGTGTGCCATGCACCAATGTCGTGCAGCATAACTCCAATAAGAATGGTGAAGCCCTGCCTGTTCAAGGTTTACTCTAGTCCCTTCAAGTACGGACCTGAGATTCCTCTCGGCGACTGCGTTCGACTTGGAGACATAAGCAACACTAGTGTTTTGTCTCCACCCAACTTCCCGGCAAGCGAGCTTGATGGATGGTGCTGCATCGGAATAAAACACTCCGACTTCTTCACCAGGTGCAATGAAAACTTCTTGCTGAAGGATAAATCCAACGGAAATTTGTTGCGACATCTTTCATGACCATAGCAACCCTGTCACCATCAATTGATTGTTCGTTGGCATCCCTAGTCACAAGATGATCCCCAGTGATGTGGTCCCCAAACTAGTTGGATTCCACGGTCAAAGACTCCCCTTTGCTACGTTTAGTAGGTTTGTACATCTTTGCACATTTGCATGTTTCGCAAAAAGGGTTCTTTGGGGTGTGTGTCATCATGTGCCTAAGGGTCCTGGCCTCTTCTCGAAGTGCAGCTTCACCACGACCGATTGGTTGAGGTTCAGGCAATTGAAGTCGACCGTCTACCGGTTCTCCGGGAGCTTCGGCTTCATCTTCCGAACCTTCAACAACGTCGGGCGTCATGGCCGCTGGAGGTCCTGGTGCTAGTTCAGGAAAGAACTCCTCGAGACTATCGTCACCACGTCCATGAACTTCATCGTCATCTGCGATGGAAGCCTCATAAGGTTCTTCGACCTCTTCGACTTCGTCCTCGGACTCAGTGCCGACAGCCGACATGCGAGATCTTCGAACAGGTGAGATGATAGGCTTGCCGTTCCCGGCAGCGGAGTTCCACGAAAACGGAATCCCTACTGCAGCGGGTACCTGGCCATCTCCGGATGGTAAATAAGGAACAAAATCTTTGACTTCGAGTTTGATCTTCGTTCCATCTTTCTTCTTGAAATATGGGCGACTAAAGCTTTTCCAAACAAAATCCCATCCATCTTGAATACATCTCATCCCTACCGATATTACAGCCGGGGTATCGGGAAGAACATATGGATGAACTTCTTTGTCGATGCAATCAATATGAACAGAAGCTTGTTGGTCAGCTGATTGGGAACCATTTGCAGTGATTAATTCAAGGGGTTCATGAGAGTGATACACAATGTCATCGGGAATCATCTTGCTGCAGACTAAGTCCTGTGCACTACCAGTGTCAGCAATCCATGCAATCTCGGCGGATGCATTTCGCTGCTGAGATGGCATGTGTCCTGGCAATGCATTCAAGTCGGAACCGATGCAGTGGCGACAGCCGATATCACTGTCACATTCAAAGCTGCATTTGCAAAGCTTACCATGCAACTCCCGAAAGACAGCTGATTGCAACATCTGTGCTGCAAGTATTGCATCACTTTCTCGTGCTTCGATCGTATCTTTACGAGTAGGATCGTCCTTGGTGATGCGAACTGGATTGAAAGTCCGTTGTTTGGCTTGGCACGGATGCAAATTACAATTTTGCTCAATGGGAACTTCGAAGATTTCATCGTTGCCCCCAAATGAAACAGTGCGATTAGGTGTAACTGGCATGGCAAAATGCTGGTTGAAACAATGCGGAGAGGCGATGCCTTCCGGCACGCGATGAGTGCTGGTCGAAGGGTTGACGACTGCGACCATCATCAGAGCGCGCATCAGGCAAACTGCAGCTGAGCCAGAGGAAGATGGTTTCCCCCCTTTGTCCTTGAGACTCTGTGAGCCCTTCGAGGAATTGGAACCTCGACTTGACGATCTAGAGCGATCGCCCTTCTTTTTGTTCTTCTTCTTCTTTTTCTGGCTCTTTCCGCGCTTGTCATCTTTTGTAGATGCAGCTGCAGGCTTTGGTGGGTGTTGGATGGTGTTGGAAAGCACAGTCATTACCTCGCTGACACTTACCTGCCTTCCAAAACTTGCAAACTTGGTTCCTAGATCCTGGAGACAAAGACCGACTAGTGCCTCTTGACTTGGACCTGGACTTGCCTTTCTTACCTCCGCCTTTTCCTTTGTCTGACTTTTCATGTTTATACCGGCAATCCTTTCCCCTGGTACACTTGCCAGCCTGGAAGTCATAGCAAATGCCAGTGGGCTTTCCCGCAGATGGCGGCCGTGTGGATGCTGGCGTAGCGTCTCTTTTGCCTGAAACAGACTTCTTAGTAGCCTGGCGCATCTTCTCAAGACGTCTCCTCTCAAGGTAGTCCCTTGCAGCTTTCATGAGAAAATCATAAGAGCGGTTGGGTTCCCCCTCCGGTGTGCGATCATACACAGCCAGATCATGAGAGAGAGGCTTGAAATTCTTGATGGCGTTGTGAAAGTATGCTTGCTTCCACATCATGTCAGGCTCGGAAGTCATTCCAGCGATCACAGCGTCCCATCGGGTGATGAAACCTCTGAGATCATCATTGACTAAGGTAACAGCCATGAGGTCCTCAATGTCGTACACTGCACCATGTTTCCTACTTGTGCTAAAATGCTTATGAATCATGAGCAATGCTTGACGTCCTCTAGCTGGTGTCCCTGACTTGGCTTGTTCTTCCTTAAAGATGTCAAGTTGCCGTGCAAAGTCCCCTTCGCAGATGTTGGTGAGCGAAGACATGAGCTTTGCGTCAAGGGTCACGAATTTACCTGAGTCCTTCAAGGCATCAACAGACTGGTCTGTCCTGAAAACTTCTTCCACCCACTGAAAAGCTAGGTCGGGTTTGGCTGAAGCCGCAATTATGGCATCCCTTACTCGGATTCTCCAATTCCTATAATTTTCGGGTTGAGGGAACTTAGGAACTAGGATCCTATCAGACTCTTTGGCCTTATGATCAGTAGTCCTATAGAACGCTCCAAGGCCCTTTTGACCTTTCGTGCAAAGGAACTCTCAGAATCCGAACTGGACGTGGTAGGGGATGAAGACGAAGAAGGTGATGGCGAAGGATCTCTACAATGTCGTCGTCTTGATCTGCCACGACTGGTCTTGCGATCCTTCTTCTTGTCCTTCTTATCTTTGCGACTTCTCTTGTCGTTGAAGTCCTCGTCCTCGTCATCATCTCCTGGAGGTCCACCACCAGGAAGTCCTGGCGGCTTCGAAGGTTCTGCCAAGCAGTGCTCATCGTCTGCATCAGACGAATGCTGAGGCTTCTTGCTTCCCGAAGCTAACTCCTCAATGATAGGACTTGCGGGTTTCGAGGCTTGTGGAACGGGTTTTCCGGGCCCATAATGAATCATGAGTCCAGGAGTTCTCTCCAGAGGTTGAGATTTTAGGTTCCGAATGAGCTCTTTCTGCTCCTTCCGAAGCTTCTCAATCTCTGCCTCGAAATCCTTCTTTTGAGACTCGGCCAGCTTCTGCATGTTCAAAGCGTGTTGATTCATTGCATCAATCTGAGTGCGGTACTCAGCAAGTTCCGAACGGGCTGCCTGCAGATCAGCATTGGACTTCTCCGCAGACGATGTCAAGACACCTGCACTGTTGACAACATGGGTCAGTTCGGCACTCAGTTCCCTGATGCGATGATCCTGCGCAGTGACCTGCAGTTGGGCAGATTTCTGCTCGCTCATCGCCTGGGCGGCTTGCTCGTTCAACAAAAGGTTCTTCCTGGAAATCTCTTCGGCTGCTTGTTGTTCAATGCTTGCAAGTTGATCTCGAGCTTCACTCACAAGCTCCATTCGTTGACGTTCCATGACCTCAGAGTGACGTACAGTTGCCTCACTCTGCAATGCCTGCTGCTGAGCAGCCATAAGTTGGTTCGCCAGGTTTGGATCAAGACCTTGTTGTACCACTGCCACGTGGGCGGTACGCTGATCAACACTATTAAAATTGATGGTGTTGAGTTGACTGATGTCAATGTTTGAATCCAAAACACCGGGCATATTCCTGCGTGGATCTTGACAGCATGGGTCAAACTCTTCATCCAGGTAACTCATATCCCCTTCAGTTGTAGCCGCGCCTGAGTGGATCACCACTTCCTCCGGTTGTGTCGTTGTCGCCAAAGCCAATGCAGCCGAGGCGTTCCCGCCCGGGGCAGGAAGCGCTGGGGGAGTGGACATGGCGAAACGAGGAGGTATGAACGAAAAGTGTGAGACAAAAGGAAATCAACCAAATCACCTTTGGCGATACGGCTGATAACCTGTAGAAACTAGGTTAAAGCCGGGATACACCACAAATACAGTAAACCGCAATAGCGCTATTTCTTGAGCCATGAGCCACATAGTGATACGGGTGAAATGACCTATACCTAGAGTACTACTGTGCAACGACATAATTTGTTTTGTCTTCTTGCCAACCGCACTCATCAGCTCCATCAACTTCCTCCCTCAGCCCTCGGCATTCGATATCTACACCTGAGACCTGCTCAGTTTTCGAACTTCTCAGGTAGCAGATTCCCTGGTGACCTGGGAATCAACAGCCGACTCTTGCACTTGGCCAACCGTCCTTTTTGGCAAAAAATATCGACGTTGAATTTGAATGTCAATCAAAGTGAAGTCCTGATTGACATGGAAGGAAAACATGACGCAATCGGCTTTGAATGAAGGTGATGCAGAAGACAGCCGCATCATCCTACCGTCCTACCTTTGTCGCCCAAGAAATCCAAGACCAGCCTTAGCAGCCAGATGCCAGGAGGCTAAAAAGAGACAATCCAAAGTGGAGGGTCATTTTACACACAGCACCTAGACATCACATCACACCACTTGTACCGAAACTGGAAGAAGCAAAACATGACAAGAAGAAAAAGGAAGAAAAACACCTCTCCTGGCACTCCGCAACCAGAACGTTCAGCGCTGGAACTTATTTTTCTTCAGGGCAAGGGTCTTGGAAGCGGTGATGAATCCCCAGCGCTCAAAGCCGGGGTCACCTCTCAATGGCTATGAAACCTTGACGCAGTGATGGGGCACCGAGCTGCCAAACAGATCCACCTCAAACTACCGAGCGGTGCTTTTGCACCGAAGCTTTAGGACATGGTGTCCACTAGCGCTAGCGCAAGCTGACGCCGATCTACAAAATTCCTCCCGAGATACAGTATGGGACACTCACGAGACACTCTCCGACTGAAGGTGCGCTTCAAAAACATATTTCTTCACAGGACCGGGAGTTGTGCTCAAAAAAAAGTGTCTGAGTCCGACGGTCCTGGGTATACCATAATGCCTCAATATAATGCCTACTGTAATCAATAGGTCTATTCATGATGTGAATAGTTCTTGGCAGTGTCATGACTCCTTCGCATGCAGAACATTGCAGAACCATGTACAGTATTCGGTCACTGGAAACGAATCTGAATCACATTGACATGGAATAAGAATGAAGTCTAGAATTGCCAGAAAGGCTGGAAATCATTTGAAATTGCATCTGCATGTGCAAAGGCTATTTTTGTCACCTTGATTGTGGGCAAAGGCAAACATAGGCTCGCGAAAAGTGTCAATGTTGACATGAGAAAATCACACCGCCTCATTCTTGCCGTTGTATTGCATCTCAAAACATGTCATTCAGTAACGAGATGTAACATGCGATTTGTCAGCAAGCTAGGTGCATGGATGTATGCACCTACGGACAAATGGATAGTGAGACATATATTGAGTATTGAGATTGAGATACAGTAGGTGTTGAGATCTTGCGGGTGCAGGGTGTAGATTCACATGCAAACAACAACTCAATGCAGGGAAAGAGATGTGCACAGAGAGAAGAGAGCAGGGAGCCAGACAAATCGACATAAATAGACAGGATCGGATCGACTGATAGAGAGCCTAAATGATGCTAGATGATGCTGGATGTGTCTATATGAAGTTGCCTCGGCATCTTCCTGCACTTTCAGAGCAAAAGGTTGCAGTTATCTGCAGGGACCATCAGGCACCCAGGGATGCATCTGCAAGGCCTCCCTGGAAAGACATGCGCTGCCACGAAGTGACACGCAATCTGAAGTGAGAAAGCTTGAAGGATATTGATGGTCTTATTACTAGTCAAACACCACATTTCTATACATGTCTAATGATTTCTATATTTTTGTGCCATTTTCTTTGTCAAGGGTAGCATGTGCATGTGTTAGTTTTCACACTGGCTCATCTCTCACATCGCTGCCTCGATAGAGCATAGGTGTGTGCCGAGAATCTTTGAAGGAAGCACTGGGCTCTCTCACAAAGCACTTTGGCTGCAAGTGTCCCAAGACACCGATGGAAAACGCTAAGTGGCTGACCGGGCTGAGTCAACACATCGAATTTTGCAAATTCAGCCAGCAAACCAGGCCGCATATGGCTGCTTTGCAATCTTTTCAGTCTGAAAGTTCCAGATTGCAAACAAGAACCGCTTACCATAGGATTACCATGCTCATTGAGGCACCTCACTTCCGCCTCCTCTTCAGTCTGACAATCTGTATACTTCCTGATAAGCTAGCAGCTAGAGAGCAGCCTTGACAAGCTGGAGAGCGTTGCCATGAAGTCGCCATCAACTGAGTCCGTTCCCTTTCCGAACATCTGGATGGATCATTTCGCGCCAGCTGCTGAACACCCCCAGCAATAGGTTCCTGACGTCGGCCTCTGGCAAAAGTCTGTGAAGTGTGATGGAACCACATGCCACATGTTCACGTGCCCCAATTTACGCAATTGCTAGTGCAGGTTCTGCTACTCCTGGGGCCAGAGCAGGGGGGTTGAGCCTCCTTGTGCCAAGACAGCATCTGCACGCTTTAGTAGTCAAAAAAAATGCTAGCCTTGTACGCCTAGGGTTTGTCTCATGTATTTTCACCAAAGCTAGTTCTTCCAACATCCATTCGCACATGGCACCGTGATGTGTGCGCGTGCAATCTTGATGACCATTTCTCACTACCAAATTCTGTTGAACAGACAAAGGCTCCCCCATTCGAAGATGTTGTGGGCACTCCAAAGTAGGTCAGTTTTGATTTGGAAGGTATTCAATGGAAGCTAATGGCAGGGCTCTTTGGTGAGGTTATATATTCAGCTACCTTCGTTTTGAAACATCTGACGTGAGACTGCCTTCATTTCTTGCTCTGCAAGGTCCAGCTCTGCGAAGTTGAATGCGAAGTCGGAGGCCAATGGTCGGAAGCTTTTCTCTGGCCAATTGTCTGGACCTGGGCTCCAACAAATTCAACGCAAATTCAATGCAAATACTAGGGCCACTGCTGCCATTGCTTCGAATTCTCAGGCCTAAACACACTTCAGTGTCCTCGGCCTCTTCCGCCAAAGAGTTCGTATCATCTGAGTTCTGCAGGGAGGGGGTTCAAATGATGGGCTCGGCGCCAATTTACATTGATCAAAAAATATGAATATGAATATGAAGATACAAAGACAGTACCAAGATTGTCCAAGCACATCTCCGGGTGCAGGATCTCTTGTCCTGCCGGGAGAGAGGGTTGCGTGGAGGTGTCCGTACCACCGACCGCGCCAAACGGAGTTTCTCACCTCAGTTTGGTGCAGGACCTAGCCAACAATGGCCAACAACGCTCAGAATCCGGCCAAGGAAAATAGCCCAAAAAAAACAAAGCCAACAATAAGCACACCTCTGCGCATTCTGCTCTGAGCAATTTGCAAACACACCCCGCGCTTACCCTGTCAAAGCCCTATCAACCCAGCTGGGACTATGACGTAGTACGCAAGTCTTCCATACCACCTCTGCCTTGCAAAGCTCAAAATTGAGCAAACTACCTCCCACATGCAAGACATGGCTGTGGTGGGAAATATGTGCAGGGTCATCTGACAAGATGTCTCTGATTCTTTGCCTCTACCCTGCCAGGACCCACATCTTTCAGGAGCTGTACGGCTGAAAGATAGGCATTCCTTGGTCATAGCACTGGCAAGCAGCTTTCGGAGTATTTGATTGAATAATGTTGGCTATTTTGACAAAACAGCACGACACGCTCAAAATGAAGCGCGATGCATATCAACTCATTATGAAAGCTTCTCTTCCTCCTCAAGCTGGTAGAGCTTGCGCCCTTCAGTTCCTTCTCCAGAAGCCAAGTCGTAGACCTTTCCTGGCCGCAGATCAGAAGGACAGGGTATCATTGAAAAAATGTTCGCAAAATGATCAGAATAGATCAACATTATCAAACATCACAAGGGACAGAAGAGGAATCACTTGCGAAATTCTGAGCTTGTATCATCTTATATTCAGTTGTCCTTGCGTGAAGTGATATGATGTGATATGTCACTGATGTTGTTTGCTCAACTGCTCAACTTGTGAACGAATCTGAATGAAGACCTGTGAAGCGCATGAAGCATGGGATTTGAGTCATTTGACGTGCTGCGCTGTGCTGCGCTGTGCTGCGCTGTGCTGCGCCGTGCTGCGCTGCACCTCCTTTACTGCTGGGCGTGCTGGGCCGCCAGTCCGCAAACTCCGCCTCGATGGCCTCGCAATGCTGTGCTCGAGTGCCCCGGAGAGCGGATGTCTAAGGCAAGCAGATCAAGCAGATCAAGCAGCATGCTCAAATATGAACATATATGAACAGAAATATGATCAGAAATATGATCGGATGTGAACTAGGTGAGGAGCTGGAACGAGATCGTTTCAATATCTATTATCTGTGAATTTTGTTGCACAATTGATTCCATGATTCCTCATTTGCAACACATGGATCTACTGCCACAAGGTGGTTACAAGTGTTGAATCCGTCCTCCAAGCAAAAAGACAGCAAACTTCAACAACGACCAATGAAGTTTCCTGTCAAGCCACAAATCCATCAGCTTGGTCTTGCCGTTCATTACGTGGAGTCAGGGCAAACTCATCCGGCTCCGGTTCGAAGCAGCCGGGGCCTCTGAACTCAAGACAGGCCAAGAAATTCAAATGAAATGCAAAATTTAAAACCTTGACACCCAGTCCATTCTTGGCATTTTGTCATGTCATAATCTGTCATATTGTCCTTCGTCGGATCCTTTTGTTCATCACACCTTCTCGCCACCAGCGCGTGAGCTCCCAGTCTGGATCGCCGGCCATTGTTGTCCGCTGTCTGTGGCAAGTGCTGTGCATGCATCTACCGTAGATTCGTCTACCCAAATGTGCTCTGCTGTGGTGTGCCTCATGTTGCCTTTCAAGTGACAAGGCAGAACAAAGTCGGAAGGGGAAGGGAAGTTGCTATAGTGCTGGAATGAAAGAGACTTGGGCTATGAGTAGCAAGTACAACAAGTAGCACGAACAACTGACTTGAATGCTTCAGCTAGGTGCAGTGTGGTCGGCTGTTTGCTTTTCTTTCAGTGACTTTGACCAAACCACAATCACAATCTTTACTGTACTGGCCTCCATGGACTGCACTGTCAGATAGTTGAAACGACATGACAAGCGGTTGCACAAACAAAGTTGCACGCAGCACGTGGATTTGTATTTTCTAACTACTACATGTGGCTTAATCATGGTCACAATCCACTCGCTTAGCGATCAACTGAAGAACCTTACTCAAACTATATAGCCATGGTGAATGGTGAAGCCTGTTCAGTGATTATAACGGATTCCTATAGTGCTACAGTGCGTGGATCGGTTGGAGTAGGCGTGAGGAATCCTTGTGCCACAAATCTACCATGTCCACTTTGGACTTGGGCACCAGGCCAGTGACAAAAGCTCCACTATGGGACCCTCTGGGGTCTGCCGAGCCAAGAACAGTTCCAAATCACTCTGGCACATTGACCTGGCTAAGTTTCAGGGCGAGGCATTCATTCAAAAGAAACTGTTTGCCAGACTCACGCTCCTCCATATCACACGGTTTTATAGCAATTTAATTTCCATAAATCCTTTGCTTCTGCAAAAGTTCGGCCCTGATCATGCAGCTGAAGAGGAGAAACAAGGCCCAGAACCAAGAATAAACGACGGAAAGCGCTACGTCAAGAATTGCTTGACTTCCCATAGCTAGGCCTGTGTGGGACACCAAGGTCCAACTGTTCGACCAAAGCGCCCTTCTGCAAATCCCAGAAGTCTAAATGGCTGCCACCTTGGTAAAGAGAGATATAAAGAGCAAGAAAAAAACAGCACCACAGGTCCGATACCTAGCACCACGTGCTGACACTTGCCTGAAAAGGCAGTTGTGGAACACTTCTGCTGAAATGCCAAGATGCTATGAAGCACGAGAAGGGCTTTGCCTGAGGGCATTGAAAGTCAAGAGAAACTGCCGCCGCTGCGCTTTTTGCTACCGGATTTTGCGTGTTCGTGCGTGTTCATAGATAGGTGCAATTCTGAACATCCAGCCTTCGAAAGCGACCTGTACAGCTTGTACGTCTTCATAGTTTTCACTTGCATGCCATTCACAAGTCCGGCCGCTAGCAAAGCACAGGCCTGCCACAGAGAGAGAGAGAGAGATTAACCGGAAAATCAGAAAGTGCCTCAATGTAACTGTGCCTAATTGAAAAGGGGTTTGAGCACTCTGTAGCCGGCAAAGGCTGCTTAAGCACATCCAGCCTGCACCGGGCTGCACCTGCATCATTTTCAGGAATGCAGCAGCACTTTATAGCACTTTTTCTAGGGTCATGATTTTGTTTTTTTGCAGTCTGGGGTTGTCCTTGCTATTTGCTACATTTTGGGGCTAAAATCTCTGGTTTGCGTGCTATTTGCTGCATTTTGGAGCCAAAATCTCTGATTTGCGTACTATTTGCTGCATTTTGGAGCTAAAATCTCTGATTTGCGTACTATTTGCTGCGTTTTTGAACTTAAATCTCTCATTCTGCATGCTATGTGCAGCATTTCGGAGCTGAAGTCGCAAATTTGGGTAGCCAAAATCGTAAATTTGCACGTTTTCAACAATGTCTGGATGGTTTTCATCGCTTTCTTGATTCTTTAGGGTTTCTCCCAGGTTTAGGGTTTCATTGAGGGTTTCTTTAGGGCGGCGTTTAGGGTTTCTTTTAAGGTTTCTTAGGGTTGCATTTAGGGTTTCTTTAAAGTTTTATTTAGGTTTCTTTAGGGCGTCGTTTAGGGCCTCGTTTAGGGTTTCTTTAGGGTTTCTTTAGGGTTTCTTAGGGTTTCATTTCGGGTTTCTTTAGGGATTCATTTAGGGTTTCTTTAGGGCGTCAATTGAGGTTTCTTTAGGGTTTCTTTTAATGTTTCTTTAGGGTTTCATTGAGGGTTTCTTTAGGACGTCGTTTAGGGTTTCTTTAGGGCTTCTTTTAAGGTTTCTTTAGAGTTTTATTTCGGGTTTCTTTAGGGTTGCATTTAGGGTTTCTTTAGGGTTTCTTTTAAGGTTTCTTTAGGGTTTCATTTATGTTTTCTTTAGGGTTTTATTTAGGGTTTCTTTAGGGCGTCGTTTCGGGTTTCTTTAGGGCTTCTTTTGAAGTTTCTTTAGGGCTTCATTTAGGGTTTCATTGAGGGTTTCTTTCGGGCGTCGTTTCGGGTTTCTTTAGGGTTTCTTTTAAGGTTTCTATTTAGGGTTTCTTTAAAGCGTCGTTTAGGGTGTCATTTCGGGTGTCGTTTAGGGTTTCTTTAGGGTTGCATTTAGAGTTTCTTTAAAGCGTCGTTTAGGGTGTCATTTCGGGTGTCGTTTTAGGGTTTCTTTAGGGTTTCATTTAGGGTTTCTTTAGCGTTTCATTCAGGGCTTCTTTAGGGTTTCATTTAGGGTTTCTTTAGGGCTTCATTGATGTTTTCTTTAGGGTTTTATCTAGGGTTTCTTTAGGGCGTCGTTTAGGGTTTCTTTAGGGTTTCTTTTAGGGTTTCTTTAGGGATTCATTTAGGGTTTCTTTAGGGTTTCATTGAGGGTATCTTTCGGGCGTCGTTTAGGGTTCCTTTAGGTTTTTTAAAGGATTCTTTAGGGTTGCATTTAGGGTTTCTTTAAAGCGTCGTTTAGGGTTTCATTTAGGGTTTCTTTAGGGTTTCTTTTAGGGTTTCCTTAGGGTGCCGTTTAGGGTTGCTTTAGGGTTTCTTTTAAGGTTTCTTTAGGGTGTCGTTTAGGGTTTCTTTAGGTTGTTTTATTGATGGTTTCGTTCTTTTCTGACAACAGCATGCATACAAGCTCCTATACTCTATGTCTGCAGATTTTTGTGCAGTTTACATGAAATATATACCTTATATGCAATGTATTACACGAAATGTGATATGCAAACTACAATACTAAAACCCAACAAACGCCAAGAGCCAATTGAAGTGAACGGCCAAAATTAAAGCCAAGTGAAACCAAACCAAAAGCCATGAGCCATGAGCCATGAGCATAAGCCAAGTGAAGCCAAGTGAAGCCAAGTGAAGCCAAGTGAAGCCAAGTGAAGCCAAGTGAAGCCAAAAGCCAAAATGAAGCCAAGTGAAGCCAAGTGAAGCCAAAAGCCAAAAGCCAAAAGCCAAAAGCCAAGTGGGACGCAAATGGGAGATTCTAGCTCCAAAATGCATGCAAAACAGAGATTATAGCTCCAAAATGCAGCAAATAACGAGGAAATTTTCCTCAGGATGCCTCAGGCTGAAAAAAAAAAAAAACTAAAAAAACTAAAAAAATACCCTCCAAAGACCGGGCTGCACCTGCATCATTTTCAGTAATGCAGCAGCACTTTATAGCACTTTTTCTACCCAATCGAAGATATACATGATGATACATGTCGTGGTGTTGGACAGCTGCTGAGAGTTGCCCTTTGGTAATTACAGCATGTTGGTCAGATTCTGCTGCCATGCGCACGGAAACGAATGGCACAAGCGACAATGAACATGCTTGACACACTTGCAACCACCGAAGCGCGGGATAGAGATTCCGAACAAATCTACTTCTGTCTTATGTATCTATGGTTCTGAACATGTGCGAAAAATTGGAGCCACTCCACACCTTGAATCTTTGCTCAAGATGCCAGGCTCCCGAAAGCCTGTCCTCACAAGCATCTCATGACCTTGGATGCCTGTCAGCTGTTTACACTGCTTCTAAATATTGAGATGATCCGGTAGAAAACCACTAACAAAACTGACATACTCTTGCTCATGTCAATTTCATCCATGACTCTGTCCTTCTGCAGCCTTGCTGTAATGATTCCGCTCCCATCCCATCCTTTCACCAACAGGACCCAGTTGCGACAAAAAACAACCACACGCGCACATCTGAAAGCAAGGCATATGCAAGGCATGTCACAAGTCCTGCCAGCATCAGATCCGGCCCTTGCCAAGCAGCTGAGATGCGACGCCAGGTCGGGAGCTGTACCTGGGCACCGTGACCAAGACCAAGGCAATCCTTGCCGCACCGCACGGAAACCCAAGACCAAAATAGACCAAGGCTACCACACGTTCTACGGAGGCATTCGCCGAATTCCTGAGGTGCACATAGTGTACATGCTCCACGTTTGTTTATGTTAATTCACCCAGTCATGGCCCGTTCATCTTCCAGTCGCGCACTGCGCATGTGCTGTGGAGAATCACGAAAAGCAATGGAAGCCGTCCTTGGCACTTCTGCTCCATTCAAAGGCCTCAAGCCTCGCAAATGGCCACAAAGCCGCGAAGTCCTGTGTGAATCTCTGTGAGCCATAAGTAAGCCATTTAGTTTGATGTTTCCCAGTTGGGTTCCAGGCTCCAAGAACTGTTTTCATCAGAGGCAATCAGGGCGAAGCAGTCAACGCCACAAAACCTAGAGCAATGAAAAACAGCTTTCTGACCTGACCTGTTGATTGCATGCGCACTCTCACCCTTTTATATACATATATATAAATATATATTATATATGGTCCCGTGTCTCGTGTTCACGGCCCCCCCCAATATGGTATGTATGGTCCAGCGTTCCAACCCCCCTCTCCCCCGCGGCCATGGTCATGGGTCAGCCATAGTACTGTCCCCCTCCCCCTGTGGTGGGGTAGGAACACGGAACACGAGACCATGAATACACATGTGATATATATATATATACATACACACACACTACTTACATTATATATATATGTATGTATATACACACACACATCTATATATATATATTACCATCACCATCTCAGGGGGAGAGGGGGACCACCAAACGTTTGGCCATATATTATGTGTGTGTGTGTGCGCGTGTATGTGTGTGTGTGTGTATTATTTGTCTGAAACGGCCAGGCCTACACAGCAAAGCTTATCAGATTTATAAGACTTGACCTGTAAGAAACATCAAGAAACATTAAACCAAGTTTCAAAACAAATCAAGCCAGGTTGCACGGTCGATCTTCCATCTGGAATGTCCAACCTAAAGAGGGCCGGAAAGCTTGGCCGAATGTCACTGGGCACTAGGTCGCTAGAGTCGAGAGCACCTTTTGAATCATTTTGATGGCCCATGCCAAGCCTGGAAAGACCCAGGAGTTCATCAGCAACGCGCTTTGCAGCGAACATGTCGAAACCGTTGTGGAGGAAGAGCTGGAAGACGCTCCTGGATAAGACTGGTGCTGCCAGGGAACTCGCCAACATCGATATTGCATACTATTGCATGGATTCGCATGGTATTGCTGCTCAATGGAGCGCAAATAACATCAAACAAATACAAAACGCTCTAGAAATCAAACAAATACCAGCAAAGGATTGTAAAGGCAGACAAGTTGCGAGTTGCTGCCACAGTACAGGGAATTCACCTGACAGCATCACGACATGACCCCCACTCAACCCACCCAACGACCACTAAAATATGTAACAATATGTATATCTATAATATCTATATTTAGCTCTTCACATATTTATTTGTTTGTTTATTTGTTTGTTTATGTACTCGTACCACCACACCAAACGGGTAGACACTGGGAAAAAAACTTTTGACTACTGGAAAAAAATTAAGGTTCACCCCTACTCTCCACACGGGAAAAAAAACTTAAGACACTGGAAAAAAGAAACTTAAGAATCTGTACTTTTAACGTTTTTTGCAGCTGAAATCTCTTATTTGTACAATATGTGCAGGGTTTTGGGACTTAATTTGCATGGGATTTAAATCGTGTTAGCCTTGAATCCCTTGTTTGCACCGTGTGTCTATAGGGGAAGCTCCAAAAGCTCGTGTCTTTTGCGACGTAGATGTCGCAGTGTCTATAGGGGAAGCTGCAAAACTTCGTGTTTTTTGCTACGTAGATGTCGCAGTGTCTATAGGGGAAGCTGCAAAACCTCGTGTTTTTTGCTACGTAAATGTCGCACTGTCTACAGGGGAAGCTGCAAAACCTCGTGTCTTTTGCGACGTAGATGTCGCAGTGTCTATAGGGGAAGCCGCAAAACCTCGTGTCTTTTGCTACGTGGATGTTGCGGTGTCTATAGGGGAAGCTGCAAAACCTCGTGTCTTTTGCTACGTCGATGTCGCCGTGTCTATAGGGGAAGCTGCAAAACCTCGTGTCTTTTGCTACGTCGATGTCGCAGTGTCTATAGGGGAAGCTGCAAATCCTCGTGTTTTTGGCTACGTCGATGTCGCAGTGTCTATAGGGGAAGCTGCAAAACCTCGTGTCTTTGCTACGTGGATGTCGCAGTGTCTATAGGGGAAGCCGCAAAACCTCGTGTCTTTTGCTACGTGGATGTTGCGGTGTCTATAGGGGAAGCTGCAAAACCTCGTGTCTTTTGCTACGTCGATGTCGCCGTGTCTATAGGGGAAGCTGCAAAACCTCGTGTCTTTTGCTACGTCGATGTCGCAGTCTCTATAGGGGAAGCTGCAAAACCTCGTGTCTTTTGCTGGGTGGATGTTGCCGTGTCTATAGGGGAAGCTGCAAAACCTCGTGTCTTTTGCTACGTGGATGTTGCGGTGTCTATAGGGGAAGCCGCAAAACCTCGTGTCTTTTGCTACGTCGATGTCGCAGTGTCTATACGGGAAGCTGCAAAACCTCGTGTCTTTTGCTACGTCGATGTCGCAGTGTCTATACGGGAAGCTGCAAAACCTCGTGTCTTTTGCTACGTGGATGTTGCCGTGTCTATAGGGGAAGCTGCAAAATCTCGTGTCTTTTGCTACGTCGATGTCGCCGTGTCTATAGGGGAAGCTGCAAAACCTCGTGTCTTTTGCTACGTCGATGTCGCAGTGTCTATAGGGGAAGCTGCAAATCCTCGTGTTTTTTGCTGCGTAGATGTCGCCGTGTCTATAGGGGAAGCTGCAAAACCTCGTGTTTTCTGCTACGTCGATGTCGCAGTGTCTATACGGGAAGCTGCAAAACCTCGTGTCTTTTGCTACGTGGATGTTGCCGTGTCTATAGGGGAAAGCTGCAAAATCTCGTGTCTTTTGTTGCGTCGATGTCGCAGTGTCTATAGGGGAAGCTGCAAAACCTCGTGTTTTTTGCTGCGTAGATGTCGCAGTGTCTATAGGGGAAGCTGCAAAACCTCGTGTTTTTTGCTACGTGGATGTCGCAGTGTCTATAGGGGAAGCTGCAAAACATCGTGCTTTTTGCTACGTCGATGTCGCAGTGTCTATAGGGGAAGCTGCAACACCTCGTGTTTTTTGCTACGTAGATGTCGCAGTGTCTATAGGGGAAGCTGCAAAACTCTCGTGCTTTTTGCTACGTGGACGTCGCAGTGTCTATAGGGGAAGCTGCAACAACTCGTGTTTTGCTACGTGGATGTCGCAGTGTCTATAGGGGAAGTAGTTTGTGCGAGCTTTGTAGTACACAGTAGTACTGGAAGGTGTTTGTGCATGTGTAGTACACAGTAGTACTGGGAAGTGCTATGCAAGCTTTGTAGTACACAGTAGTACTGGGAACGGCTTTGTGCAAGCTTTGTAGTACACAGTAGTACTGGGAAGTAGTTTGTGCGAGCTTTGTAGTACACAGTAGTACTGGGAAGTGCTGTGCAAGCTTTGTAGTACACAGTAGTACTGGGAACGTTTTTGTGCGAGGTTTGTAGTACACAGTAGTACTTGGAAGTAGTTTGTGCGAGCTTTGTAGTACAAAGTAGTACTGCGAACGACTTTGTGCAAGCTTTGTAGTACAAAGTAGTACTGGGAACGTCTTCGTGCGAGTTTTGTAGTACACAATAGTACTGGGAAGTGCTTTGTGCAAGCTTTGTAGTACACAGTAGTACTGGGAACGGCTTTGTGCCAGCTTTGTAGTACACAGTAGTACTGGGAAGTAGTTTGTGCGAGCTTTGTAGTACACAGTAGTACTGCGAACGACTTTGTGCAAGCTTTGTGTACACAGTAGTACTGGGAAGTAGTTTGTGCGAGCTTTGTAGTACACAGTAGTACTGGGAAGTGCTTTGTGCGAGCTTTGTAGTACACAGTAGTACTGGGAAGTGCTTTGTGCGACCTTTGTAGTACAAAGTAGTACTGGGAAGTGCTTTGTGCAAGCTTTGTAGTACACAGTAGTACTGGGAACGGCTTTGTGCGAGCTTTGTAGTACACAGTAGTACTGGGAAGTGCTTTGTGCAAGTTTTGTAGTACACAGTAGTACTGGGAAGTAGTTTGTGCAAGCTTTGTAGTACACAGTAGTACTGGGAACGACTTTGTGCAAGCTTTGTAGTACAAAGTAGTACTGCGAACGACTTTGTGCAAGCTTTGTAGTACACAGTAGTACTGTTTTGTGCAAGCTTTGTAGTACACAGTAGTACTGGGAAGTGCTTTGTGCAAGCTTTGTAGTACACAGTAGTACTGGGAACGACTTTGTGCAAGCTTTGTAGTACAAAGTAGTACTGGGAAGACTTTGTGCAAGCTTTGTAGTACAAACTGGTACTGGGAAGTAGTTTGTGCAAGCTGTGTAGTACACAGTAGTACTGGGAACGTGTTTGTGCGAGCTTTGTAGTACACAGTAGTACTGGGAAGTGCTTTCTGCAAGCTTTGTAGTGCAAAGTAGTACTGAGAAGTGCTTTGTGCAAGCTTTGTAGTACAAAGTGGTACTGGGAAGTGCTTCGTGCAAGCTTTGTAGTACAAAGAGGTACTGGGAAGTAGTTTGTGCGAGCTTTGTAGTACACAGTAGTACTGGGAACGTGTTTGTGCGAGCTTTGTAGTACACAGTAGTACTGGAACGTGTTTGTGCATGTGTAGTACACAGTAGTACTGGGAAGTGCTTTGTGCAAGCTTTGTAGTACAAAGTAGTACTGGGAAGTGCTTTGTGCGAGCTTTGTAGTACACAGTCGTACTGGGAAGTGCTTTGTGCAAGCTTTGTAGTACACAGTAGTACTGGGAACGGATTTTTGCAAGCTTTGTAGTACACAATAGTACTGGGAAGTAGTTTGTGCGAGCTTTGTAGTACACAGTAGTACTGGGAAGTACTTTGTGCAAGCTTTGTAGTACACAGTAGTACTGGGAACGTGTTTGTGCGAGCTTTGTAGTACACAGTAGTACTGGGAAGTGCTTTGTGCAAGCTTTGTAGTACAAAGTAGTACTGGGAAGTGCTTTGTGCGAGCTTTGTAGTACACAGTAGTACTGGGAACGTGTTTGTGCGAGCTTTGTAGTACACAGTAGTACTGGAACGTGTTTGTGCGAGCTTTGTAGTACACAGTAGTACTGGGAAGTGCTTTGTGCAAGTTTTGCAGTACACAGTAGTACTGGGAAGTAGTTTGTGCGAGCTTTGTAGTACACAGTAGTACTGGGAACGACTTTGTGCAAGCTTTGTAGTACAAAGTAGTACTGGGAAGTGCTTTGTGCAAGCTTTGTAGTACACAGTAGTACTGGGAAGTGCTTTGTGCAAGCTTTGTAGTACACAGTAGTACTGGGAAGTGGTTTGTGCAAGCTTTGTAGTACACAGTAGTACTGGGAAGTGGTTTGTGCAAGCTTTGTAGTACACAGTAGTACTGGGAAGTAGTTTGTGCAAGCTTTGTAGTACAAAGTAGTACTGGGAAGTAGTTTGTGCAAGCTTTGTAGTGCAAATTAGTACTGGGAAGTAGTTTGTGCAAGCTTTGTAGTACACAGTAGTGCTGGGAAGTAGTTTGTGCAAGCTTTGTAGTACAAAGTAGTACTGGGAAGTGCTTTGTGCAAGCTTTGTAGTACACAGTAGTACTGGGAACGGTTTCGTGCAAGCTTTGTAGTACAAAGTGGTACTGGGAAGTGCTTCGTGCAAGCTTTGTAGTACAAAGTGGTACTGGGACGACTTTGCAAGCCTTGTAGTACACAGTAGTACTGGGAAGCGCTTTGTGCGAGCTTTGTAGTACAAAGTACTGGGAAGTAGTTTGTGCAAGCTTTGCAGTACAAAGTAGTACTGGGAAGTGCTTTGTATAGTGTGGAGTGGGGAGTGTAGAGCGTGTAGAGTGTGGAATGTGTAGTGTAGATTGTAAAAAGTAAGAGTGTAAAGTGTAGAGTGTGGAGTGTGGAGTGTATAGTGTAGTGTAGAATGTGGAGTGCTAAGTGTGGAGTGTGGAGTGTAAAGTGTGGAGTGTAAAGTATGGCGTGTGGAGTGTAAAGTGTGGAGTATGGAGTGAGGAGTGTGGTGTGTGTAGAGTGTAGAATGTGGTGGAGTGTGGCGTGTGGAGTGTGGAGTATGGAGTGTAGTGTGTGGAGTGAGGATTGAGGAGTGTGGAGTGTAAAGTGTTGAGTGTGGAGTGAGGAGTGTAAAGTGTGGAGTGTAAACTGTAGAGTGTGGAGTGTGGAGTGGAAAGTGGCGAGTGTGGAGTGTAAAGTGTGGCGTGTGGAATGTAAAGTGTGGAGTGTGGAGTGAGGAGTGTGGTGGGCGTAGAGTGTTGAGTGTTGTGGAGTGTAGAGCGTAGAGCGTGGAGTGAGGAGTGAGGAGTGTAAAGTGTAAAGTGTGGAGCCTGGAGTATAAAGTGTAGAGTGTGGAGTGCGGAGCGGAAAGTGTCGAGTGTGAAGTGTAGAGTGTCAAGTTAAGTGTAGTGTGTAAAGTGTAGAGTGTGGAGTGTGGAGTGTAAAGTGTAGTGTGCGGAGTGTGGAGTGTAAAGTGTGGAGTGTGCAGTGGGTAAAGTGTGGAGTGTGGCAGGTGGTGGTGATCTCGTTGTGCTGGTGATGTTGATGTGCTGGTGATGCTGTTGTGTTGGTGATATTGTTGTGATTTCATTGCGCTGGTGATATTGTTGTGCTGGTTGTGATTTCGTTGTGCTTGTGGTGATGTTGTTGTGCTGGTTAGTTGTCTCTTTGTGAACCGCACGATGCATGCAAACAAAGGTTCGTTTTCCTATTGCAGAGGTTTGCACTCGTAGTCCAAGAACGTGAATACATTCGGGTTCGTGGCTTCCATCTTGTTTATTGTTTTAGTTACAGTTTAGATTTGGTTGCTTTAGGTTTTCTTTAGGGTTTCTTTCAAGGTTTACTTTGGCTTGTGTTATATAGTGTTGATTTGGGGTTGGCTTGGTGTTTGTTTGGTGTCGAATCAAAGTTGTTGTAGTGTGAATTTAGTGCGGGTGTGGTGCTTCTTTCGGGTTGTTATAGGGTCTATTGAATGTCGGTTTGGACTTTGTTTAGGGGTAGTTTTAAAGCCTGTTTCGGTTTCTGTTATGTAGTGCATGGGTTTATTATGGTTTATTAGTGCTGGTTTAGGGCTTATTTTATGGTTTATTTAGGCTTTGCTGATGGCTTATTTGGATTGCATTGTTTAAGATTTAATTTGGGTTTATTTATGGTTGTTTTGGTATTTCTTTATGTTTACGTTTGTGTTATACAGTGCCGATTTATGGTTGCAGTGCCGATTTATGGTTGGTTTGGCGCTTGCTTGATTGTGCTTTAATGCTTATCTACTTTTGTCATTCTAAGGCTTAGCCTTAGTTGGACTTGTTTGGATGCTTTTTTGGTGCTTCTTTCAGTTTGTTTCGGGATGTTTATGTAGGACGGTTGGTTTAGGTTTCATTGAGGGTTGGTGTTGCTTTCGGGCGTATATAGGGTTATATAGTTCCGGAGATCAAAGGACGAGGAGGGTAAAGGACCAGGATGAGGAAGTTAAAGGACCAGGGGATCAAGAGGACCCAGGGACCAGAGGACCAGAGGACCAAGGGACCAGAGGACCACCAAAGGACCAAAGGATCAGGGGAACCTCAAATTGATTTTCCAGTGTTTTTACATGATTTTATATTTTTCCCTGGGCTCCTAGATTTTTTCCCAGGAAACTTAGATTTTTTCCCCAGTATCATCCCACACCAAACTCCATTTGGACACTTGCCGAAATGGATGGCTAAAGGCCAGGTTCTTAGGAGACTGCAAGCAGTGCAGAAAATTTGATGAACGTCGGAAAATCAGGATGATTGAAAAACCAAACGCATCCAAACGCTTTGCTGCCAGCATGTATTAAGAAGAGTAACAACCATCATCAAAACCGGTTGAAAGTTAAAATCTAAGAAAAAACACAACGTCACACTATGAACTGTAGTAAATGTCCATGTCCGGTTTGGGTCTGAATTTAGAACACCCCTGGAAACGTTGCAGCTTGAAGAAGTCCCAAGTTTGTTTGAAGCTTGCGTTCCCATCTCAGATGGTTGTTGCAAAGTTCACATTGTCACTAGAAACATTAGAAACCATCAAGACATATCAAGGCAAGGGCCGCAGGACCGCAAGATACCGCAAGTGGCCTGGAAAAAACTGGCTGGTTGAGGCCACGTCGACAGAAGTTGACGCTGAGAGCGCTTGGCATACCTCACTGCACAAGGGCCTGCCGCCTGAGCCTTGAGGAAAGTAGATAAAAACTCATGAAAAAGATATGCAGAGATGATAAAAGCTCATGAGAAGTTCAAGCGGGAAAGCATGTTCAAGAAAAGGGCAAATGCACGTGTGACGTGTGACAGGAATCGAGGAGATAGATTGGCCCTGCTGGATTGCCTCTTTTCAACGTCTTTCAGCCCACTCCTGCGCCGTGCACTTCGACATGGAGCGGCTTGCACTCCAAGGCTTGGGCTGCAACTGCTTCGACTGTCGCAATCTTCTCGCTCTCACGCGGGGGGGTCTTGGCCGTGCATGTGGCCATATGACTGGTCTGTTGTAGGGACCTGAGCCGAAGAACCATGAGCAGAAAGTGAAACGAGTTGCCTCATGTTTTCTCTGCATTTCAATCATTTTCATTTCGAAATGTTCTGAGGGACCTGTGCAGTTGTCGCCAGCGCATTGAATGATGAAGGCAACATCCCAACCTCAGTTCATAGACGCTTTAACAAGTTGAGAAATGCGAGGTGCAGGACGGTGCTGGACGGGAAAGTTTATATCAAGAAATAATAATGTTTTTGAAAATGTGCAGATCTTGCAAAACATCGCAACCTTCAACAAGTGGTTGAAGGGCACTGGCTGACCATATTTCGTACACCCTGCAAGAAGATGCAAGATAAAAACACGTGTATTACAAAGTTGTCAATCAATCATGGGAGCTCTAGGACACTTCAATATTATTATTGGGCAATTGGGCATGAAGGATAGGCCAACAGGCATCCAAAATTCTTCACTGGTTGTAAGTTTGAGGTATGCTTGCAGCGCTGCTCAAGCTCACATTGTGGTAACTGTGGCAGCTGCCAGTTGCCACTCCTGTGGTATGAGCGATCCCGGCCTTATGCAGGATTTCACGGACGTCATATGCGAAATGTTGAAACAAATGCAACGAGGCTGCCGCTGAAACAGTCAGTTACATTCAAGAAAGGTCGAACGATGTCGAATGTTGAATTTAGAATGACAATTACAAATGAGATCAAATGAGGCAGCAGCACAGAACCAAATCAGCGCCAAAACCAGTGTGAAGCGCATCGTGACCCGGCCTGGCGTCTGCGGGGAGCTTCTTTGGGGATGCATCAACCGATGCATCGACTGAAGCATCTCTCATCTCTGTCCCTCTCTGTGTCAAATTTTGAAGTTCCCATGGTCTTACCGGACTGTGCCTGGTAGCGGATCAACTCCAGCCCACTCCTCCTCAATCTCGTCTTTCGGCACATGTTTCTCCAATCTGAGCCAAATGAGTCGAGCAGAGTGCCATCAGCTGTAGACTTGCCGCGTTTCAGAAGCTATTGGTGCTCCATGGTGTTCCTGTGATTTGCTTTTGATTTTCAGATTCTTCAGGTGCGCCGTATGCGCCGTGAGCTATGTGAGCTTACATATAGAGCTGCCCCCGCCCTGGCCTAATGATGTCAAGCCATCTGGCACCTTGAAACCTCTGCTCCGTGCACCAAACTTCCAAGAACTTCCATGAAGCAGAGACGAATCATTGAGCTGCAACATGCTGCAACCCTAGTTGAAAGATTTGGAAGTCTGATGACATCGAGTCGCAAAATCTATCCCCTACCCCCTGTTAAGGTTGTCACCGTCTTGGTAGTTGCCCCATGCCGAAAGAGCCTTTCTCAATCATCTCAGCATGCCTTGCGACCACAAAAACATCGCAAGGAGTGAGCGGTGTGTCTTTCCATGTTGCATATGTTTGAAACATGTGCTCACTATTGCTCACCCTTTTTTCAGCTCCAGCCACCCCTTTTTCCATGTTGCAATGTGCAAGGTGCACAGCCATAGCCTAATTGATCCAGGCTTGAATGGTTAAAAAATCACTGCTTGCCCCTCCATCGCTTGAGCCTGGACAATTCTTCGCTTGGGCAGCTTGATGAATCGGAGTCCGTATCAAAGCCGGTAGCTGGGCAGGCGAGACAGCACAGCGCTGGGGAAGCTCTCTGCGTCTGAAACTGGCACTGGTCACTAGCTCAATCAATGTCATTTGAAATGCAAACATCATCAAAAATAGTACGTGTATGTATGCGTAATATGCAAAGAATCACGCTGCTCGTGTCATAGTCAACTTCGAAGAAGCACAAGTTCCACCAGCATTTACCCCAACCCCACGGCACATCTAGAACCTACATGACCTACATCCCATCATGCCCACGTGGTCCTTTCTCCAACGGCTTGGAGACAGGCCCATCTGCTGGGGACAATTGCGATGCCCTGACCAAGTGAAAGGTGTAATAACGGACATTGACAAACGTAAACAAAGATGTACAAAGATGTACAAAAATATACAAAGGGTCAAGAGCTGAGGCTGTCGCAAGTATAAGGTCCACATGCAGTGCAGGAGGAAGATGGGCATGGACAAAACTCCTGCACCAATGAAAGGCCTGAAGGCCTTACTCGCCGTCAAGGCCTGAAGGCCTTACTCGTTGTGTCAAGCTGATGGAGAACGGCTTGACCTTTGACAGCTGCCTTCCCATCCCATGCCTACATCCCTCCAGCGCCTTCAACCCAATCCTCCCAGTCAACACCCGGCGTGTAAATAATGAGAAGAATCCTTGGCAGGAAGTCGTTAAAGTCGTTAAAGTCGTGCAAGCATGTTCAAGCCCTGCACACAGCCTTTGAACTCCTCTCAGGGGTAAATGCTCTTACTCTGTCAGCAAGGCAGGCAGGCTTCGTTGAATAAATTGGAGGAACAACTTCCAACCTGAGATGACAAGCTTGCACCAGGATGCACCAGGACGAACCACCAACATGTTGAATTCTGGATAAATTGGCAGAACCTTGGAAATAAAGTCTGACGTCTCTCCAGATCGTGACCAAGCAATAAATGCAACTCTGAGTGGTGCGAGGGACATCCCCAGAACGGTAATTCCTTAGCGAACAGATGTCAAACAAATGCAACATGGGCAAGCACTGTCTATTCAACACTTGGAGCCTGCACTTCCAGCAGACCAGACAAACCAGGAAAAAATATCACAAAGTAAGGCAAGTGGCCAAGGCAAGTGTAAGGTTTTGCGCAGTCGACATCGATGCGAAGGACACACATCTGAGCTCTGATTGGGCTGGCTTACAATTGGCTTACCATGTGTTCAACACAGTGGTCACCACAAATCCCACGACTTTGCTCCCGGCGGCCAACAGTTTTGCCAGAATGAGGCAGGCAATGGCTGTGATGGCTGAAACCTTCCAGCAAGCAGCGACCTCGGCATCGGATCACATCAGGGCATTCATGAACTCTTCATGAACCTCAACTGCCCCGTGTCACAGCCTCAGCTATTGACAACATGGTACGCTAACGCTTGCAGCAGCTGATTCATACCCACCTCAAACAAAGCATGGTGGGCACATCCAGCCAAGCTCATGTTCAATGCTGCACAATGAGAGTGAGAATCAGAGGGAAGACATGCGAGAATCAAACCAAGCTACAACCATGCAAGCTCGCGAATAGGCATCATAGCTTAGCCAATGCCCGCGCATACAAATCCAGCGACGCAGGTGCTTCTCAAAGTCAGTGTCATCATCGTCCTCTTGAAGTTGTTGTTTTTTTGGGGGGTCAGGTGGAGTAGAGAAAGCAATCTTCAAAAAAAGAACAGATGTGCGTAAAATCGATGAAGATTGTTTTAAATGATGGTAAGTAGCAGCGCTTGCAAAGCTTGCCTTCGTATGATCCGAATGCCAATCTGCGTTGGGCACATACGTTGGCAAGCGATCACGAAGAGGATGGGCGGAGGACGTAGACACACTTTCATCCTCTGCGTCATCCTGGCATCGTGCACCAACACACTCCTGTCACTCCAGTCACACAAGTCACATCTAAGGTGAAGAAATGTGGAAACATGAATTAAAAATATAATGAAATGTGAGCACTTCAAAATCCCAACGCTTTGTTCATGTCCACCTGAACAAGCACTCTCTATAAAAACCTATCTGCAGCAGTCTGGGTTATATTTTCTCTTGCCCTTCCCTTTAGCCTGGTCGGACATGCTCCACCACAGTGCGCAAAAAAAATAATCAGTTGATCAGGGCGCCAGTAAATTTGTTGACAGCCAGACGAGCCAAACCATTGATGAAGAGTTTGAGCAAAAGGAAGTGATCTCAGTCAAGTGAAACACCTATTTCAGCAAAAGACCAGAACCAATTGAAATTGTCATCACGTCGACTTATTTTGCGCTACCCCTCCATTTACGCTTGGTCGGCATCTGTCAGAAACCGCGCTTTTGTGCTGCCATCCATTGGTCTACTTTCTGAAGGTCGTTGTAAAGAATCAACCTCTTCCCAACTACCATCAAAGACGACAAAAGATTAAAAGAGAGCCAAAGAGATCGAAAGGGATCCAAAGAGATCAAAATAGATCAAGAGAGAGCAAGAGAGATCACAAGAATTCACAAGAGATCGGAAAAAAATCAAAAGAGATCGAGAGGGATCAAGAGAGATCAAGAAAGATCAAAAGAGAGCACAAGAGATCAAAAAATATCAAAAGAGATCAAGAGAGATCGAGAAAGAAGAAGCACGAAGTGGACCACTGCACGAAGTGGAAGAAGCAACAAGACAGGAAACACCCACAAGGCCACTGTGGACCAGGTCAATCTCGTAGTGGAAAGTGGCTCCGAGAAAGAGCTTTTGCAGGGAATCAAAATCACACGAAGGAACGATGGCATGCAGCACAAGCTTCATGCAATAGCGTCCAGGACGCATGTTTGACTTCAAAGTCAGCATGTGTGTGTGTGTTTGTGTCATTTACATTCCGATGCAGAGTACAGTAACATGTGTCAATGTCAGCTTTTGAGGTTCAAATAGACAAATATATATAGTAGATATAGTAGTGCAAATCTGCAAAGATCTGCGAAGTGTACGGAAGTTGTCTGGTTTACAACTGAGATGCGTCAACCTTCCAGGTGAGGTTGAGGTGAAGTCACCTTTTCGCTGTGCTACTCTCACTTTGCATGTGACCTATGCAATCGATGACTTGGCCACACCTGTCTACACGTGCCTTAAACTGCAGCATGGGCCATGTTCAACCACAACAGGATCATCGCAAATACAACCCTCCAGTCACCCGAGTTCAGTGTCTTAAAATTCCACAGCACTTCAAACCTGCAAGGGTGACGTGATGAGACTTTCCCATCCCATCCAGAAGCTCCTCGAGGTCAGACCCTTTCCCCCCAAAAAAAAGTGTAGGGAACTCTTTAGGGCTACTTTCGGTCGACAGGATGCGTACAGGTGATCATTTTGAAAGGTACTGCTTGTGTCCTGCCGAAGCTGAAGGCCAACATCTTGTCCCTGATGACGAATTCTGACACTAAGGGCACTAAGGGCGTCACTAATACGTAAGGATCCTGGAAACCTCTTTCAGTAAGAATGACCATATGATCTGCATGTTTGTGCAGGCAATTGACTACTTGACTACACCTATATGGCGTATATTGCAATATTATATACAGTATGTATATATATATATGTATATATATATGTATATGTATGCATGTATGCATGTATGCATGTATGCATGTATGCATGTATGCATGTATGCATGTATGCATGTATGCATGTATGCATGTATGCATGTATGCATGTATGCATGTATGCATGTATGCATGTATGCATGTATGCATTTATGCATGTATGCATGTATGCATGTATGCATGTATGCATGTATGCATGTATGCATGTATGCATGTATGCATGTATGCATGTATGCATGTATGCATGTATGTATGTATGTATGTATGTGTGTGTTGCATTCATTTCGTCTATAAAGGCGCGCAGCTCCCGAATAGTCAAATCAAATCATCTCAAAATTGAATTGCGGAAGTCATGCGTTGCCTCAAAGAATGTCTTCTGCACCTTCTCCAATGCCTGGTCGCCAAAAAGTCATCACTGCACAGTGAGTGAAGCATGATTGAGACATATTGAGACATATTGAGACATATTGAGACATATTGAGACATATTGAGACTATTGTGCCACCGCTCACCAATGGTATTCACTTGGGGCCAGGCTCCACCAGGTACGTAAAAGGGCACCTTGAGAGAAGGAAGGGCAAGCGTCTCAATTCTGCTCTACGCTTGGCACAGCCGCAACTAAACGTAGAATCCAATACACCTTGAGTTTGGATATCGCACGGTTGTCAGGCAGCGACAGCCTGATCGGAGGCATGACAATAGGCGCACTTCAAGCGCCATGTACATCATGTACGTCGTGTACATCGTGTACGTATATATGATATATGTGGTCAGGATGGCAGCTGACAGTGACAGTGAGCCAGGGCCCCCTCCAGAAAAAGTTGTAAAAATAACTTGGACTGCTGCAGAGCGGGAGGATATCCACTGTAAGGGAAGGCTCTTGTCAAAGACCGGTGGGTACTAAGCAATCAAAATGGAGGTAGATGTTCATACTCTCAACAAAGGAAGAGAAATCTACGGAGCTAATAATATCAACAAGCAGATCTTTCAGGAAAACGATTGAAATGCGAGTCAGTCTGCCAAAAACAGACAGGGCGTAAGGAAATGCAAATGGGGTGCAAACCAGGTTCAAAATCCGTAAGCACTGTAACAGTGTGCTTGCTTTGCTTGCTTTTCTGGGCAAACATGTAAACAAACATGCCCAAAAGGAGTCATTTAGCCTGCAGAGACAAAGATAATAAAGCTACGAAGGGCGCATTTGTACATATTGTGAACAGCTACATCCAAAAGTTTGCACTCAAGTGCACCAGCATGTAGGAAGCCCATCATGTGTCCAGGGATTCCATGCTCACCAGGATGTAGTGAAAGGCGGCTCATCAGAAAATGCTGCCCACGCCCGAACTAATTGGCTTGCACATCACCTCAATTCCCCGAGAGATCTGAGGTATCTTTCATCTCAAACAAGATGAGCAAAGCAGTTCTGCTCTTTGGGGTTGGTTTCAATTTCAATGAGCCCTTCAACTCCGCTGCATCGTGTTGTCGCAGCTCATGTTGCTCCCCAAGCGAGTCTGAAATCTGGACACTGCCCTCGGCGCACAGAAGGTAGCCCTGTCGCCCAGGATTCAGCAGGAGTTCTGGTCGTTCTGAGCGTTCTGATCCCATAGTTTCAGAGTTGAACTCCGACATGTAAACGTTACAATCCTCAGTCCACCGCCAAGCCAACCCTTGGAAAGAAATTCCTTGGGCTACTACTTTGACTGCATTGTCCACGGTACAAATTGGGAAAAGATGGGAAAAGTGGTAATGGCAACCCCAGATTCGGAATACTCAAAACCTAACATAGCCTAACCGCAGTCCTAGTTTGTGCTGCAAAAGGTTTCTCCACGTTTGCACTTTGACCAGGCAACTTGGTGGATCTTCACAGGTGTTTGAGCTTGACCAGATACATCCGAGACAATATGACTCCACTGATTGACGCGGGAAGCCTTTGCAAGAGCGTCACCTGTCATAGACCCATACCGGGGATTCAACCCTCTCTGTCTCGGCAAAACCCAGCATTGGATAAAGCGCAATGGTTCATCGTGCAAATTCTGCTCAGAGTGAAGCACTCCACTGCCTGCAGTCATGTATTGCAGGCTTCCGCGTCCCAGGATTTCCTGCGTCCCAGTCGAGTCCTTGTGCGTCAAGTTCCCTTGCAGTATGAAGGTCAAAATTTCCATATCTCTGTGGGGATGGGATCCAAAACCTCTCCTGGGCTGAACAAGATCGTCGTTCATCACCCTTAGGACGCCAAAGTTGCTTGGACCGTGGCTATACTCAGCAAAATTAAAATGGAACCGAGACTTCAGCCAGTTTGCATTGGTCCAGTTTTGGGTTTCTGGTACGTCCGGATTTGGGCCATTGCCAAACCATTCAGGATTTGGCTCGCTGACAAAGAGTCTCTCCCTCGGCACAACCTTCACGCCACCAGTGCATTTCACTGACTCCGCTGGGCAGAATGTCGGTCTGGCTAACAGTGTCACAAGACCTAGGGCCAGAGCCCAGGGAATCCTAGGCGCTGCAAGAGTCCTTCTCTGTGCCATGTTGCTTGAGCCTTTTGTTCATCAAGCCAGTCAACAGCCGTCAACAAGACTTGATCTGTTTCTTCTTTGGCATCTGACACTCTGACACTCAGGTCCATGAGTCCATCTTCTGACATCCTATGGCATTCTGATAGATAACTTGTAACATTTCTTTTCTGAATGGCCTTGTGAAGTTCAGCCGCATTCGCGTACCGAGCGCCTTCCACGCCAAGGTCAGTAGGGTTTCATTTAGTTTTCCGTGATTCTCCCCTCATGAGCCCACAGGATTCAACCAGGTAGAGCACGGTGGAACCACCAGCCACCGCCCAAGATCAAAACTCTTCACTAAGGAGATGCACAATGCATCACATATGAACAACAGGCTGAGAAACCCACAAGCTGAACGGTCCCAATGATGTTTCTTGATCTACACCTGGTTCTTTCGCTTTGGAACCTCTGCGAACTTCCCGAGAATCACTTGAATTTGCTGTTCGAAACCTTCCAGGACCTGATTCTTGGAACATTTGGAACCTATCCAAACCATAACTTGTCTGGGGAATTGTCACCGGCTGGGATGTGTTGAGACATTTGCAATGAAACTTCGTTTTGAACATTTTGAACATCTCTTAAATTTGGACGCTTTGGGCTCTGGGAATTCGGATCTGCAATGTGCAAATTACTACAGCGGTTGGCCCCGTCCCGGCGAACATGGCCCCCCCCCAGCTGAAGCTGTACCAGTCTGACAGATCTGTCCGTATCACTCGCTGCTAAACTACCACGCCTCGGCACCTTCGGTGCGGGCGGATTGTTCCTTCTTTAATTTGTAGCCTTTGTTGTGTTTTTGTTAATTCAATTAAAATAAAAATCCTCGGTATCAAATGGTCTGGGTAAGAAAATTCAAGGAGATAACTAATGAGTTTAATTTTTGAATATTGCGGTGATGGAAATAGTACGGGGAGTGGTAGCAGCGGTACCGCCAGCCGCCAGCAATAATGGTAGATGTGGTTATAGGGATGGTGGTGGCGGTAATGGTTGTAACGGGAATGCAACGGGGCTAGCGGTCGTCAACAAGAGCAGCAGCGGGAGTAGCAGTGGTAGTGATAGCGGTTATGGGTGGTATTTGCTAGATTACTCCAATTCAATTCTGACATGCGCTGTCTTGGCTGTCTTTTGCAGAAAACCTTAGGAATCGTGAGCCCAACAGCACCGCTGCCCCTATCACCTCGAACCTGCCGCAGCCATCTGGAACAAGTAAAATTCTTTAAATCAGTGAAAACGTTGTTCTTCCTGCCTGCGCAGTGATCGAACAATGCATTGCAAACCAAAGGGAGAAGAGCAAATAGCCAACCTGTCGCATGTCGCAGCGGTTTGGAATAAACATGTAACTGGGCCGTTGCGGTTGCTCTGGCATGTTGCTTCCCATGGGCCAAGGGTAAATCATGCAAGTAGCAGAAGAGAAGCATTGGACCACAAAAACTGTCGAGTACCAAGTTGGCCAATTGTCGAGATCTGGAACGACAACTAGGTCACCTTGGCGTAGGGCAAGTTGGTAAGCACAATGCGAGTTGGCATGCATTAGAAGAAGTCCGACATCCAAAGCCAAGCCGCTACTGGTGATCCACTGGAGTGCAAAAGTAAGCAACAGAGCGCCCACCAGGTTGTACCTCAGTTCTTTTTCCATGTGCTTCACAAGTTCCACTTGTTGGCAATGCTTGGAGCGAGGCATGTCCATCCGACCTGCCAGAGAAACACCCACTACAATGCACATCTGCATTTGCATCTGCATCTTCATCATCATCATCATCATCATCATCTTCATCATCTTCATCATCATCATCATCATCTTCTTCATCATCATCACCATCATCTTCTTATTCCCCATCTTCATCTTAATCTTCATCTGCATCTTGATGTTTATCTTCATCTGCATCCTCGTCTTCATCTTCATTCATTTCATCTTCATTTAACATACACTACAGAAATGTGTGGAAAACGGAGCAGGGCAACCTGTGGTCAGTTGAACCAAGTCCGCGATGTCGTCTCGGTGCAGACTTTGCCTCTGGACCTATCACATCCAAATGATAGATTATTCTCACAGTAATTCAGCGGCCAGAAAGTCCAATGAGAACATGAGAAAGGTGCTACTCCTGACATCTCCTGACGCCACGAAACCGGTTCCCACCTTGTAATCTATTCGATCGTGTTTCCTGCCAGCAAATTCTTGTCAGAGAGTTGGTGTTGCGCAATGTTGCGAAGGCGAGTGCTGCATTTGCCTCTGGAATGCTTGGTCAACTTGCGCACCACGGCCAGAAGTGGCAAGACCTGCGTCCGCATCATGCCCGATGATCACGCTGCCAAGAACTAAAGCAACTAAAGATTTGAAATTGTATCATCACAGTGGCAAATTGCGTAGACTCTGTGCATCTGTGACCACATCCAAACCAAACATGCCCCCCACCTGAAGTCATTCCCCACATATCCCAATTGCTGGTCCCCATGGCGACCGCCCCAGACACTGCCGCACCCAATGCTTCCAAGACCTTGGGAATTCAACTGGCAATGAGTCAAGCCTGGCCCACTAGCTACCCTAAAATACCCGCATAAAAAATAGTTGGTTAATGGATGTGCATTCCCCTAAATATAGTAATATATAATAAGTTTTGACCCATCCCCAACTCGAAGCGAGTTCATGCAAAGGTTGCAGCATCAAAGCATGTCCGAGACAATGCAGGTACAGCAATACATTCAACGCATTTTTGCGCAAAGTCAACTCGTTCTGCAGGAAACAGGATGCAATGGTTTTATCAAAAAACATAATACGGGCTTAATACGGAATAAAATTGTGAATTACCTTGTCTCTCCATCGTCATCTCTGGAGAGACTGACATGTGGCAGGGGGCGTAGCGTCATGATTCATGATGATATTTTTTTGCTGTAATATGCTGCAACATGCCCCGGGATTTGACAATATTGTAGGCGCATCCAAGGTGCCATTGCAAAGTCGCGTTGTATTGCTACAATCCCGTCTGGTGAACGGCCGCGGCAATTGTGCAAGAAACCACATCAGAATCACATTGAAACATATCATACACAATACACGACAAACCCTACCACATGTGACAAGGCTGCAAAATCACTCTCAACCGCTGGGCCTTCTTAAACAGTTGGAACACCCACAAGCATGACAACCATGCAGGCACGTTTCAGCTGATTTTTTTTATCGGATCGAAAACCCGCCAATTTTTTTTGCTCGTCAACAACACTACAATCACAACATCAGGGCAACATGCCCGGCGAATGCCATGCTTGGAGCTCCTGCTATGCATGCTAGATATGTTCTGGGAAACTGCGCTACTTGACGTGGGCATACGCTCTTGTGCAACACGTGCGGCGAACAAAGAAAACCACGCAAATACCGGAAGAGCGTCTTGAACTTATGGGAACCCCTTGCCGACCCAAGATTCAATTTTTCGGTTAAGAAAAAGAAAATGTTGAAACATCAGGTTTGGTGGATTGGTTTGTTCCTGTTGGTTTGATGCCGTTGTACGGCTTGTTTTGCCCTCTGCGCTACGACTCAAGGGCCCTATGGCGGTTTTGGGCCCAAAGAGGTAGCGGATATATTGTCCATGAGTGAAAACGTGTGTAATGAAACGTCGCACAGTGACACTGGCTCAAAAACCGTGTCAGCCATTCTTGTTGATGTGACAGATCGTTTCAGTTGGAAAAATACCAACTGTCACGCTGGGCAGTTCCGCTGCAATTTGGTGGCCATCCCTTGTTCTGGCGATCGCACTTCAGATCCCAACTGGACCCTTGGATTGCGCGGCCAATCCAAGAACATTGTCCTTAGCCTATCGTGTGCCTTCGTAAGGCCGTCGGCTCACACGGCGGTGGTCGGCACCCAACACATGTCAGAGGGCAGAATGGTTTCCTGCACTGCTTTAATCATGAATCCAACACGTTTTTCTGCCGTGTTGAAGTTTGCTGCGACGGTGGCGTTGTATGAGCCGCCGTCAAAATCAATTGTTGATGCTCGGTACGAAAATATTGGTTATCGCTTTTTGGGCGGGGCCTATCGCTTCACAAGTCTTTTGTTCAAATCAACACTGAATAATGCAAAAATGCAGCGGAATTGGTTTCACGGATTCAGATCTCTAACCTGCTGGGAATGGTTTAAGGGGCCAACTACCTTGGACAACAAACTGTATGGCAACTGTGACGTAGATTTCCCAGCCGTCCACTTCCACTGAGACCATCACCTCTTCCATGTCTTCCCAAGACGGGTTGTTTTCGGTTCCAGCTCACGCCCAAGGCACGGCCCCGTGCAATATGTTTGTTTTTGGCAACGGCGTTATTAATGACCCCTACGTTTTTGCACATTTTCACCTCTCCTCTCAGGTCAACGCCTCAGCTGCTGTGGATCTTGTCACGCATGGGGTGGGGTGTGGGGGGGTGGGTGAGGGGCAGGGTGAGGGGGGGTGGGGTTGGGCGTAAGAACGTTCCTTGCAACATGTTTCATGCTACGCTATGACATCTTCTCTTGCACTTGCAGCCAGGTGTCATGCTACGCTATGTGATCCTCTCTTGCGCTTGCAAACATGTTTATATAATGCTATGCTATGAATCTTGTCTTGCACTTGCGCCCAAGTTTCATGCTACGCTATGACATCTTCTCTTGCACTTGCACCCAAGTTTCATGCTACGCTATGACATCTTCTCTTGCACTTGCACCCAAGTTTCATGCTACGTTATGACATCTTCTCTTGCACTTGCACCCACGCTTCATGCTACGCTATGACATCTTCTCTTGCACTTGCAGCCAGGTGTCATGCTACGCTATGACATCTTCTCTTTCACTTGCAAGCATGTTTCATCATACGCTATGACGTCTTCTCTTGCACTTGCACCCAGGCTTCATGCTACGCTATGACATCTTCTCTTGCACTTGCACCCAAGTTTCATGCTACGCTATGACATCTTCTCTTGCACATGCAGCCACGTGTCATGCTACGCTATGACATCTTCTCTTTCACTTGCAAACATGCTTCATCATACGCTATGACATCTTCTCCTGCACTTGCAGCCAGGTGTCATGCTACGCTATGTGTCGCACAAACTGCGGCAACGCAAACACGTTGAACAAGCTGGCTGACTTGGCCTCCACGTGTTGAGACAAAAATGTCCGATTTTTTCAAACGCGTGTGTTGCACATGGATGCTCAACGTGGGTGGAACTGCGAATGCATAGCCTCAAAGTCATGCAAATACCATCGAAAATGGATGATGGCTTCTCAAACAGGAAACAGAAACCCTGTAAAGGTTGTCGATTTTATGCATGGCCCATGTTGAGAACTCGCAAAAACAGCGGGACCGTAATTCACGACGTGACCTTGTTTTCTGAAAGTGGGTTGGCCAGCGATTCCTCGCGGCGTTGCGCATCTCGGGCACATCCATCAGGCCCTTGCAAGAGCGAAGGCAAAAAAGATGATAGCCAAGGGCTCCCGCCCTGGAGTAGAACCGAATGGTCTGAAGCCGGTTGTGCTCCGTGTTCTCCATGTGCAACCCGCCGTAACGGGTGGTACACTTGACCAGCGATGTCGCGTCCAAGACGCAGAGGCCTCGCTTGCGCAATGATTCAGTTTCTCGAACCATTTGCCGGTCGAAATCAGGATGCAATCCATATCCTCGTCCATACCAAGGTACGAGATGACAACAATTGCCAGGCGAGAGGTTCCCCTCCGCTTGAAGTTGTCCAAAGACTGCTCAACATCCTTGATGATGTCGGGAAGTCCTCGGCCCCATTTGAGAGAGTGCCAAGCATTCTCGGAACCCCCTGGAAGGAGATCGGGTTTTTCCTTGATGTACTCGCCCACATTGCGTCGGGTAGAAGGTTGGTTTTCCGAATTGACGAATCGCCAGCAAAAACAAAGTTGGCCTCAGGTTCCCCCGGGCAAAGCATACTCCTCAAGGAGAAGGATGAGACGCCTTCAAGGAGACGCGCATCTTCGGGACTCACGTCCTTCAGATAGCCTGATGCAACAGTCTGGTTGGAAGCTGCGACCGCCAGGGCTGCCAAGTCAGAAATGACATCACTTTCATTCACGACTCGGCATTGTGTGACAGTCGTGAAGATGTTGTTGAACATCGACTGCCAAGCACGGGCGTTGGGACCCATCGAATCATCCGATGAGGACGCCGGTTCCCCGGGTCGGAGATAAGCCATGTCAGTGAGCGAAAAGTCGAAAAGTTTGAGTTCGAGACGGTCATTGCGCAAAGCGTCGTTGAGGTTGTAGTTTTCGAGCTTGAAGCTGCATTGAATGCTCGATGAAGCAAGTCAGTCATGCGATATGAGTAACCCTCAGTTTCCTTAAGATCATGACCCCGTCCCTGGACATGGGTGTGGTTACCATCACATGACCATCCATCAAAAGCCAAACTAATCTGATCACAATCAGTGCAAATAGCTCATGGTTTCTTGATAGGAGTACCATCTTTGTTCACAATGCCAACCATGCATCCATCAAAGGAGACTCTCATGAGCCCCCTGTTTCTCACATTTTTTGTCAACCCTTTCGAACTTCTAATAGACACAATGGGCAGGCCACTCAATGGCAATCTTCGGTGAAAAATGTGTGTCTGACCCGATCCAGTTTTTAAAATCAACCATCGACGACCAAATTCTGTCAAAAACAAGTCGGCGATATTCCACTTTGAGTCTGGCAGATTCATGTTGCAAATTACAATAAGGCCATGCCGCGCCACCAGCGCAAGGAATGCTAATCCAAACCAAAAGTGGACAAGGTTTGATCTTGGCGTCATTAATTGTCTTCATGAGTTCGTCCATTCTATTTGGTCTTGAAGTAACGTCCCTTTCTTCAGTACATCTGATGACATAACAATCTTTTGATGTGCTTCTAGTACGGTCACCAAGCTTTGAATTAGGTCCACATCAAAATTCCACAAGCACTCGACTGTGAGCTGCAAATGAAGGGCAAGCAGGTTCCCCTGCGCTTGGCTGGGTCCCGGACGCTGTGAGGCGTGCAGGTTCCCCAGGTTTTTGTCTTCTGTTGCTCCTTCCGTGGCACGAGGCATGATGAAATACCCAGTAGTCGTAGAGCTGATTCCCACTTCTCGGAGTTGGTAGAAGGCTTGGTGAGGATGTCAGCAGCTTGAAGTGTTGATAGACCAATCTGAAATGTTTCGTTTGAATTGTTCCTACAACCATGACAAGTTCAACCATTTCGTTTTGTCAGTGTGTCTGAGAGATGGTGAACGACCACTCTCTAAAATTCTGATCGTGGCCTGGTTGTCCTCGAGAAAAGTAACCTCAGGACTGCCTGGTCCAGCCATGTAAACACTTTCATCCCCCCACTTTTCAGAACCAATATACTTAAAATCAGTTAAAGCAAATCTGATTTCCCGTGACTCAACCCCGTAATCAACTTCGTTTGGTCCAGGAATACGGAAGACCGTCTTCCCAGTCGTACATGATATCTGAGTCAGGTGTGGTCCAGACCCAAGTCAAGTCAAACTCAACATCACCAGTTTTCGTTTTCATGATAATATACCCTTGTCTAGCCAATCCCTGCAAGTTCACTGGGCAATCCGAATCAATCGGGTTAAACCGCTTATTCCGGGGTTTGGCATGGACTCTGGCAACCTCATTGGTGTAAGGGAGGGTTTTTGGCACGAATTTCCACTCGTCGGTTTTGCTTTTGCTTTTGCTTTTGCTTCGTGCTATCCACCCCGGCTTGACGGATGACTGACCACAGGCAGGAGGAAGGCAATCCAACAGCACGCAAAGCAAGGTTTGCCGCCGTGACTTCAGCCCCTGTAGGAGACAGTCGTTGATGTCTGCTTCTTCGAAAAGGCTGTCAGTGGACAAAACGTGTTGGGTCCTACTAATGCGAGAAGACATCCACTTGTTGAACGGCTGTCAGGTTCCCCGGCATGATCTGAGTCAGCAAATAACCAAGTTTTGCATTGTTCAGGAGGGTCTCCAACGAATCCAACCATAGTTTTGTCAATAGTGGTGTGAATATCACACATCAATAATCAATCGATAAAGGCTCTTATCACAATCAGGTGACCATGTTGTAGCCCTGCTTGCAAGCCCCTGCGTTGCTCGAAGTAAGTCGAACCTAGCCTTTCGTGCTGCGAACAACACCTTCATGAGCACTTGAGATGCTATTGGCTGGAGTCCCCCCCGAACTTCTGCTTCATCCGCTATCGGACGAGCAACCTTGTCATCTGGGAAAGGAGTTGAAATTTTCTTGAAAGTAACTTTCGGTCCAGCAAGTTCTACATAACGGTCAATACATTGCTGCAAAAACTGCTTCATGTCATACACAACCGTGTTGACATTCTTTGTCATGCGTTTGGTTTTGTTCTTCTCAAGTTCATCTGGAAATGTGAATCTTTGCGCTCTAGCAGCTTTCTTTGCCCCTGATTTGTCCCGTATCTTCTTTGCGGAAACCACAGCTTTGGATGGGGTTTCAACTGGTTTGTCCACAAAATAGGTTGATCCCGTCCACCAAAATGGAGGACCATTTGGGTTTTGAGACTCCAAATCATAAACAAATTCTTTTGGTTCATCATTTGATTGACAAGGTTCACACACGGTAAGCCGGCGATTATCCGCCAGTTGTCCCTCGGCTTGTCTGCGAACTTCTTGCGGGGTTGCAGGTGATGATGTTTTTATTTTCCTCGCACCTTTTTGCTGCATGAGGTCTGTGCGAGGACTGTTTTTATACTGGCCAGTCTCCAGATGTGCAAAACGATGGGCGGGCATAAATCCAAACCCTAGCAGGTGGTGAATGCCAGCCGGGAGGGTGTGGGGGGGAGCTGGGTTGTGTGTGATGATGTCGCTGATGGGGCGCCTCCCCATCAACGTTGGTGGTGGCTGTGAGGTTGTCTGTGAGCAGGCTGGAAGCAAAGGCATGGTGGGCTACATGGGAAAGAAGGGCAGACCAACGGTGCACAAGTCCAGAGACCGTGGCCGCGCGGGCATGCACGGGAGCAGATCGTGCTCGTGCTCTTGCCAGTAGTCGAACGAAGGCTCGAATCCCCGGACAACCAATTTGCACCGGCCACCTCGAGTTAACTCTGGGTAGGTCCGTTCTTTGGCCCGTCGTGCTTGGTGGAGGGCTGCCCCGGTGTAGGTGCCATTGTGCCGGCGAGGGGCCTGCCGTGAGTGGCGACACCAGTGTTGTGTCAACAGCCAATTGAGCGCCCTGGAACAACGGTAGGCCGCTGCGGTTGTGACTCGGGCGCCAGCTTCTCGGCACACCCTTGCCGCTGCTCTTTCGAGGGGCACCCGCGGCTCCGAAGGATACCTGACCTGGGGCATGCTGCTCGGTGGTCGCCTAAAGGGTCTAAGACGCGACGGCACCGACAATTGCGTTCGGTCAAGGGCAAGGGGAGGCGGAGGCGACGGAGCAAGAGGAGCCGGAAGATGTGGTTGGGATATGCCAGGTCTGGTATGTGGGGGATGGTGGTGAAAACTCGGCTTGCAAATGGCCCGGGCTGAGAAGCCATCATGGCTTGGCTGGCGGGGTCTAGGCTCGCGTGCAACTCTTGGCGCATGGCTGTGTGGGCTGCCGCTGCGGCTGGTCGTTGATGTTGCTCGGGCTGGTGGCTGGGGACAGGGTGGCATTGCAGGAGTGCTGGGAAACTAGGCGTTTCCCAGCCTTGGTTGTTCAAGAGTTGGGCGGCTGCGTGGACTGTTTGCAAGCAGTGGTGCTGCCGCTGGGTCTTGGAGCCCGCTTTCCAAAGCTGCCATGAGTTGTGGTGCTTGTTGGTGCAGGACGGGTAACGTGTCTGCCCAAGATGCCCAGTATGCCGTGTGGGCCAGGCTGGTGGCTGAACTGAAGCCTAGCCCTCCGTCGTGCAAAGCCAAGTGCGCCCGGGCCAGCGACTCGACTGCTGGGTTTGGAGTAACTCGGCGAGCGTGGCGGCTACAGCCACATCATGCTCCATGGCGAAAGCTGCCGGAGCTGGTAGTTGGCCCGGGGGCTGGCACAGAACAACAGGAGGAGCCGGGAGGCTTGGACATCTTGAAGGGCTGGTATCCTCCCCTGGCATGTGCTTCCAGTAGTCCCTCGTTCGGCGGGCCGGACTGGCTCGCTTACTAAATGATCGAGAATACTCGCATCGAAAACGTGGGCAAAAGGGTGATCACCCTTTTCCACTTTGACATCGTATTTGAAAACATGTTCACAACCTAGATAACGTCCGCGTCCTCTGGCGTGTCCATGTCAATTTGTGAGGCAATAAGTTTCCACCCGTCTTCAGTGTTGTTTGCTGGTCCTGACATCTTGAAGTCGTCCACATAAACACCAAGTAGCAACTTCAAACGAGGATGCCAAAACATCGAAAGCCAACACTCTGGATATAGAGGATGAAATCCATTGCATACAATGCCTTCTCGCAGTGACGTTGCCAAAGACCCCCGAATCAGGGTGCCCACGTGAAACCAACATAAGAAGTACAACCGGGCCTTTGAATACTCCAATCCAGTCTTCCGATCCAAGTCAAAATCCCCTGCATCAAAGCTTGGGTGCATGTTTGTTTGCCATCCCCCTGTCTAGTTTTGTTCCCAGGCATAGCACCATACGCACCCCATGTTTTCCAGGCTTCCATGCTGGCTGGAGAGCTACCCAAGTCGGCGAACAAAGCAATGACATTGTTTCCCTGAAAGGCCCTGCGCCCTTTAAATTTACACATGGGGTCACGGAGAAATTTTTCCCTCCCCTTTTCAACACAGATTTCGAAGAGTTTGCCAACATGAACTTTGGTTTTGTTCTTGATGGATTTGATAGCTTCCTTAGATACATCTCTCCGTTCCTTAACGCTGGAATAAGCCCAGGCACCTTTACTGGTAAGGTTATTCCATTCCTTATCGGGCGCGGTTTGGGCAGCAGGAACGTTGTTGATCTCCTTCTGTCCAACTGGCCTTGCCACGAGAGCATTCGAAAAATTATGGCACATGACCTCTGATTGACCTTGAAATTTGTCCCTGTGGCACTTGTTTCCACCATGCAATCCCCCCAGATTGGAGACGACCGGCACTGCAGGAATGAAATCTTCCGGATCAACATCATCATTTTTGGATCCAATTTCAGCTGATGCAGCCAATCTATTAATAATTTTATTATATTTCCGTTCCTTGTCAACAGCCGCATCATGTTTCTCAGCTGCTTCCTTCAACAAGGTTTCTTTCTTGGCAGGAACGCCTTTGGGTTTGGAGGATCCCTCGTACCTTCTTCCCGTAAAATCACCTGAATCGTAGCATTCAGGGCCATCTTTGGGGAAGGAGAGAGAGGCACAGAGAGAGAGAGAGAGAGAGACAGAGACAGAGACAGAGAGAGAAATGTATTTATAGGTATATATGTAGATAGATATGTATATATGTATATATGTATATATGTATATATGTATATATGTATACATGTATATATGTATATATGTATATATGTATATATATGTATATATATGTATATATATGTATATATATGTATATATATGTATATATGTATATATATATATATGTATATATGTATATATGTATATATGTATATATGTATATATGTATATTTGTATATTTGTATATTTGTATATATGTATATATGTATATATGTATATTTGTATATTTGTATATTTGTACATATGTGTATGTATATATGTAACTATGTACATATGTATATATGTATGTATGTGTATATGTGTATATGTGTATATGTGTATATGTGTATATGTGTATTTGCGTATATGTGTATATGTGTATATGTATTTATGTATATGTGTATATGTATATATGTATATATGTATATATGTATATATGTATATATGTATATATGTATATTTGTATATATGCATATATGTATATATGTATATTTGTATATTTGTATCTATCTATATTTGTATATTTGTATCTATGTATCTATGTATCTATGTATCTATGTATCTATGTATCTATGCATCTAAGTATCTATATATCTATGTATCTATGTATCTATGTATCTATGTATCTATGTATCTTTGTATCTATGTATCTATGTATCTATCTATCTATGTATCTATGTATCTATCTATCTATGTATATATGTATACATGTATATATGTATATGGGTATATATGTATATATGTAAATCTGTAAGTATGTATGTATGTATGTATATATGTATATATGTATGTATGTATATATGTATATATGTATATATGTATATATGTATATATGTATATATGTATATATGTATATATGTATATATGACTCAGTTTTGAACAGCTCAAAGGCGCCCTGCGGTGAGTCACCTGTGATTGGGTACCTGTACATGTCATGTGCTTTGGGCTCATGTGGGAGTGTCACAATTTCACTCCGGTCACATTCCGCCGTCCATGCCGCATTTGTGGCCCTCATGGCCAGGCCGCTGCGCGTGTAGAACTCCTCTGGCATGGCCTGGTACTTCTTCTTCAGGCGTGCATGGTTCGGCCCATCTGGTAGCAGATCACCTTGGTAAGGGGGAAAATCCTCCTCGTTGTGAAACTGGCAATCGCTCTTGTCAGAGACTTCTGTGCTATCATCTGTGAAACCGCAGAGCTTGTTGCTGTTCTTTGAAATGTCGTCGTGCATGATGTCGTGGGGCGCAGAGCCCAATTCGGGAGCTTCTCGTGCAGGCAAAATGCTTGCAGTTCCATGTGCTTCTCCGTGTTCTTTTCCATCACCCTTTGGCTCGTCAGTGAACTTCACGGTCTTGGTGCTGACGTCATTCTTCTCGACTTTGTCTCCACCTTGGTCTCCATGTGGTAGTTGATCATGTTGACATTCTGCAGCATCATGAACTTGGGCAGAATGTTGAACTTCTGGTGGATGTTGTGATTCACCCCGGTCACCTTCCGCGTCCGATGCCGCCGTAGGAAGCACAGACGTCGAGAAGATGTGGAGTATCCTTGGCTTGACATCATTCCACTTCTGACGGCTCTGGTCGGCCACCTTGTTCCAGAAGACTGCAACTTCCTGCTGTGTCTCGTTGGAAACTCTGGCAGTGCTGTTATGGTCCGTGGGCAGGATGTAGTGTCCTGAATCAGTCAGCAGGATGCGCAGCATCTTGAGCTTGGTGTCATCCTCAGAGCGGGAGTCCAGAACCAGGAGGCCATCGCCATTGGCAAAGTAGTTCGTGAAGATGGTGCTGTTCATCTTTCTCAGCGATGGGTTGCCCACAAGTGCTGGGCACATGCTCCCTTCACCACCGATCACTTCACCGGTGAAGGAGATTGGGCATCCTCCTGTTGTCAAGGGCAGAGTGACTTGCCCAAGGGTTCTGTCAGAACCTCCACTGATGCCACTGACTGGCGAAGTCACGTTCTTGTCGATGACAATGTCATGGTGCTTGCCGTAGGGCTGGATGCAGTGCTCAATGATGTCCTTCAACGTGTCGCAGCCAATCAATCCACTGGCAGCTCCGGGGTCTATGATCAGACCTCGTCGTTTTTCACCTCGTACTGCAAAGTAGTCTGCCGCCTCGTAGAAGTTGAAGGCAAAGTTGAAGGCACCAAGATGCTTCTTGTCGGCCTGCTTGACTGCAGGTGGTTGTGGTCCTTCAGCAGGATCAGTCGATGATGTCGATCTTGTCATGCGAACTTCTTCATCAGGTGGTGTGGAGATGTTGTACTCCTGAGGTCTTGTCGTCGATGTCAAGGTTGTAAAAGCGTCAGGATTGCCGTCGCCGATGTTCAGACCTTTTCGGACTGTTGGCAAGGTTGAGGCATACCAGTGCTTGCCATAGGACTTGCCTTTGCCTTTTCCCTAGACAAAGCATGGTCTAGAAGGAATCGATTGAAACACCAAATCCCAATCGGTATGAGATTGGTAAAAGCAAAAAAAAATGTTGGCTCCGCACTCCATGCAAGGGGCCAGAAAGCTCTATGCTACAGAAAGAGGCAGCAGCGGACAGCCCAGAATGAACGAAGAAAGGGCAAAGTCCCAGAAGCTGACGCCCCGAATGTGGAAAACCAGGAGGGGGGAGGCTGTCTCGGACGACTCAAAACGATGGAGCTGGATGGCCCCGGCACCTCCATAACACTGTCTACAAATATTCTACAGTAACTCGCCACGGATCAAGCTCAGAAAGTCAAGCTCAGAAAGTGCTCAGCTCAGCACGCCGGCGAAGAGCAGCGCGGGCCCGGTTGGAGCGGATCACCACGCTAAGTTCTTGAATGTACTTGCCCTTGCCTTTGCCTTTGCCTTTGCTTCTGAAGGGTCTCCATCTCCATCCAAAGTTGCCCTTGCCCTTGTCGCCATGTCCCTTCGAAGCTCCTTTGTTGGAACCTTTCATAGGGCAATCAGCAGCTCGATGCCACTTTGAGCCGCAGACAAAGCATCCATCATTCTTGCTCTTGCCTTTGCCCTTGCCGCCATAGAACTCCTCATTGGCCTGCTCGCCATTGGAGGGGCTCTCATCAGCTGCAGAAGATGCTTGTGGGTCTGGCGTTGGCTCACCATAGTATTCAGCCCAGCGCCAGTAGTCGCCATCCATGTAGTTCTGGAAGTAGTCGTTGGCGTCACATTCGACGTCTTGGACCCACTCGCCATCTTCATAGTAGGTGTCATAGCTGCTCCACCAGCCTTCATCATCTTCGTCATAGTAGATGTTGCGCTCCTCGGACCAGTGCTCGTAGTTCTCGTCGTCCTCATAGTGCTCATCATCATTGGCCCAGTAGGACTGGTCGGCATCTTCGGCCTTGTTACAGCCCAGCCGCAATGCCAAGGATCTCGCATCGGCAAAGCGCGTGTAGTCGCCGCCAACTTGCAGCTTGATGTCATCAATCTGCTTCCCAGAGAGGCCACTGTTCTTGAAGAAGGGGAAGAACTTGGCCACCTCGTTCATCTGAAGTCCAGCTCGGTCAGCAGCTTCGTCAAACCTGGCATCGAACTCCACGCTGTACTCCTGGAGGGTCAACCGGCCACGAGTCAGCCAGGCTTCCAGTGGCAAGATCTTGATCTTGTTGTCCAAAGGCCATCCTCAGTGCTGCTGTCAGATGTTTGACTCCTGACGGCACGTGGGCTTGGATCAGCTGATTGGTTGTTGGGTCTCTCACCTCGTCCACCTCCAGTCTCACCAGTGCTGCATCACCTGTGTCCCATGTTCCATCAGGTCTGGGGACCCTCAAGCTCATTGCAACCCGATGCGCCCGGCCGTACAGTCGGCCTGCTATCGTCGGCCCGATCGCTTCATCTGGCAGGTTGCAGATCCTGCACCAGAGGCGAAGGCGATCGAAGTAGGCCCTCAAGGTGTAGGTTGCATCGCCAGGTCGCCAGCCAGGAGGGATATCACGCCTGTACTCCTGCAGAGGGATTGCACCACTGCCCGTTGGGGCTTCGTTCATCTTGATGTTCTCGCCCAGGAAGACCACGTAGAGAAAGATGTCCACCTCAGGCACTGATTGCGAGACCAGCAGCCACCACAGCGCCTCAGCAGCGCAGACCACCACAGCAGCCGCGCAGTAGGACACGTTCCCCAGCAGTGATTGCCAAGGTCACCAAAGAGCTCAGCAGGGGCGTCGTGCTGGAAGACCAGGTAGCCACCTTGCCCTGGTGGTGGAGGATCTCCGCCGCCAAGCCAGGGTGCAGGCCACGCTCACGTGGGAGCCCCGTCGCCTGGGCAGCAGCCGCTGAGCGGGGGCTTACTGCAGAAGCCACTGGCGGCGGAGCCCCCCGAGAGGGGCTCCGCTACCAAACTCAATTTTGAACAGCTCAAAGGCGCCCTGCGGTGAGTCACCTGTGATTGGGTACCTGTACATGTCATGTGCTTTGGGCTCATGTGGGAGTGTCACAATTTCACTATATGCATATATGTATATATGTATACATGTATACATGTATATATTTTTGTTTCTGTTTATTTTTCTTTATAGTACAGTACTACCAGTAGTACCGCACAAGGCGGTGGCGGAAGTTTGAAAAATAAGAAACCTATAGGAGAGGTTGGTTGTTGTGAATCAGGGATGGCAGAGCGAAGCCACTGCTGGATTGAAAGGTGCTTGATTTCTCTCATTTTTTCTCTCTCTTTCTCTGACTATCTACCTACCTACCTATCTATTTTCTATGTATCTATCTATCTCTCTATCTAGCTATCTATCTCTCCCTCTCTCTCTTTCATTTGATGACCCTATCTATCCATCTATCCATCTATCCATCTATCCATCTATCCATCTATCCATCTATCCATCTATCCACCTATCCACCTATCCATCTATCTATCTATCTATCTATCTATTTATCGACCTATCTATCTATCTATCCATCTATCGATCTATTGTTGTTTTTGTTGTGGTAGTTGTAGTTGTAGTTGTAGTTGTAGTTGCAGTTGCAGTTGGAGTTGTTGTTGTTGTTGTTGTTGCTGTTGCTGTTGTTGTTGCTGTTGCTGTTGTCGTCGAAGTTAGGGTAGTCGTGTTAGTGAAGGTACGTAAGTTAGTCAAGTTAGTTAAGTTAATCAGTGTCTGTTTGTTCGACATCAGCACGTCAAAAAAGGCTCAAAACCCTTAGTTTTTTACATTTTTGACTTCGAAATGTCCTTCGCACCACAACGGCGTGCAGTTTTTCGACACTTTTTCGACATCTCAACCTCCAAAAGTGGTCCGAGACCACCAGTTTTTAACACTTTTGACTTCGAAATGTGCTTCGCGCCACAACGGCGTGCACTTTTTTGACATCTCAACTTCCAAAAGTGGTCCGAACCCCTAGTGTTTTTACCCTTTTGACTTGGAAATGTGCTTCGCGCCACAACGGCGTGCACTTTTTCAACATCTCAACTGCCAAAAGTGGTCCGGACCTGGTGTGTTTTGTACATTTTGACTTCAAAATGTGCTTCGCGCCACAACGGCGTGCACTTTTTCGACATCGCAACTTCCAAAAGTGGTCCGACCATGGTGTTTTTTTTGTGCATTTTGACTTCAAAATGTGCTTCGCGCCACAACGGCGTGCAAATTTTCATCTCTCATCTGGCCAGCTGGCTCCGCACCCGCCGCTTTAGCGAGCCTACTTTTCGACCCTCCGGAGCCACAGATCATTGGAAAAACACAGTGTTTCGCGACTTTCCTACCTTTTCGCGTATCTGTGTCTTCTGTCCTCTTACTCTTTCTCTTCTGATCTTCTCTCTTCTAATTTTCCTCTTCTCTCTGCCTCTGCCCTGCTCTGCTTTTCATCTGTCCATATTGTCGGAAGTTTGACTTCTAAACTTCCTTCGGCCAATTATGGGATTGATATTTTCAATGTCATCACTCTCCAATCCCGCCTCCCGCAGCTCCTCAAGTTGATCTTCTCCCTCGTCGGGTTCCTTGAGAATGGCCTTCCTGGACGATACGAAATCTTGAACGGTGAGGTGACTCGAGGCGGAGGTTTTCGCACAAACCCTCCTCTGAACGGGTTCGTTGACTTCTCTTTCCATGACATCCTGCAACGGAGCAACAGGATACTCATCTCCTTTCTCCATATGAAGCCGTTGAATGGCGTGCATGGATCTGACGTTGGTTCGAAGCGCAGATCTTTCTTTGGTTTAAGTTCTGGTCCAATCCGGTTAAAAACGAACCCCAAAAGGAAAGTTGGGTTAGGTCCCTTAAACTTGTCCAAAAAAAAAAATCCTGGGCATTCCTGGGCGATCCTGGATACTGTGTGCCATGCGGGGCATTCCAATAGGAGTGATGAAGTCCTCCTTATTCGAGATTCACTCGAGTTTTTTCAAGAACGGACCTGAAATCTCTCTCGGCGACTGCATTCGACTTAGGCACATAAGCTACACTAGTGTTCTGTTCTGTCTCCATCCTACTTCGCGACAGGCAAGCTTGATTGACGGAGCACCGTCGAAGTAAAACACTCCGAGTTCATCACCAGGTGCAACAAAATGCCTAAAAACCAAAACGCGATTTTTTGCGTGACTTCTTGCTGAAAGAGCAATCCCTTGAAAATTGGTAGCAACATCTTTCACGACCATGGCAACCCCATCAAAATCGACTAATTCTTTATTGACATCCCTAGTCACAAGATGATCTCCGGCTATGTGATCCCCAAATTTCGTGGATTCCACCGTCGGAGATTCCCCGGTGTGTCTTTTAGTTGGTTTGTACATATTGGCACATTTGCATGTGATTCTTTGGGGTATGGGCCTTCATGTGACGAAGTGTCCGGGCCCCCCTCTTAGCAGTTTCACCTCGAGAAAAAGTCGGCCGTTAACTGGTTCTTCAGAAGTTCGGTCTCAGCAAGTATCGCATCACCCTCACGAGTTTCGATCGTTCTCGTAACCTGTGATGCAAGCTGGATTGTGACTCCTCTGCCTTGCCTGGCACGGATTCAAGACTCACAATCCAATCCAAAAGGACTTTGGTGTAACTGGCATTGCAAAACGGTGCTGATGGTGAGACGGTGTGGAGGCGAAGCTTTCCGGCACGCGATGAATGCTCGTCGAAGGGTTGTTCACTACGACCCGTATCAGAGCGCGCATCAAGCAAACTGCCGCTGAACCTGGGGAAGGTGGATTTTCCCCTTTGTCCTTGAGACTCCGCAAGCCCTCGAGAAATTGGAACCTCGACTAGGCGACCTAGAACGAACATGTTTTTTTCTTCCTGTTGCTCGTCCCACGCCTGTCGTCCTCAGCAGACGGAGCTGTAGGCTTGGGCGGGTGCTGGAATACACATTCACGACCACGATGACACTTACCAACGCTCCATAACTTACAAACTTCTGGTGCCTGTGGAGTTTGATCTGGTTTCCCCTTTCTTACCTCCACCTTTACTTTTGTTTGACTTCTCACGCGCGTATCACCAACCCGTACGTCTGGTACATTTGCCTGCCTGATGAGAATCATAGCAGGCCCCCTGTGCCTTCCCAGCTGATTTAGATTAGGTAGACGCAGGCGCGGCTTCCTTCTTTCCTGGAGGTGTTTTTTTCGTCCTTTGCCTCATCTTCTCCAAGCGTTTCCTCTCAATGCCCTATGTTTCCTGCTTGTGCTGAGGTGCGTGAATCATGAGGGGTGCTTGACAGGCCCCAGCTGGAGTTCCCGACTTGTTTTTTTTTCCCCCGCACCTTTTTGCTGCAGAAGTTCGGGCAGTGAAGACAGTTTTTCTTCTGGCCAGTCCCCAGGTGTGCCACAAGTCCAAGGTTGACAGTTTTTAACCTGGTCTGTCCCCAGGTAGCAAAATCATCCTCCGTGAATGTGCCCTAGACTGTGGCTGACTGCATTCTATAAACATGTTGGTTTATAAAATGATTCTGAGGGTGCTTTTTGTTTATAGAATGAATCTGAGGCATATTTATGGAATGGTCCGGCAAGTTTAAGGATCTGAGATTTCGATGGTTAAAAAACCCAAAAATTAATTTTTTAGAATGAATTGGCTAGTTACAAGTAAAAAAGAACAGGAGGAAAGCCAGCAGGACATGTCGGTTTATAGAATGCTATTTCAAGTGCATGTTTGGTCCAAACATTTCGAAACAAGTCTGTTACTCGAATCGAACATGACACTCCATGGGATTTATGGAATGCATCTACCAGGATGGTTAACTTCGATTTAACATCCATTTTTTGGAGCATTGTGGCTTTTATGGAATGAGTTAAAGGGTTGCAAAACCTTGGTTTTATAGAATGAGTAGGGGAGATTCATGCACTTGCTTGTTCCAGCCGGTCCAATCGATTCCCCCCAAAACTGGGTTGTAGAATGATACCCAAAACTGCATTCCATAAACGACCACAAACTCATTCTATAAAGGTACATTAGCGGGGGATGCAAAATCCAGTCAGGTGGCCGGGGGAGGAAGTCGGCTGCCGGGGGCTTGTTTATTGGATGGCTGCCTATGGGTTGGGGCGTGCTCCATATCCTGGTGTTGGTGGCTATTCTGGTGAGTGTGTGCTCTTTGTCCGGTTAGGGGGCACTAGGTCTCTGTTCACAAGACTGAGACTGAAAATGCGGGAAGAAAAAAGGCTGGCTGGTGGGTGTTCTGGCGGGGTCTGGGCGAGAAGCTCGCTGAAGGAGGGTGGAGTGTCCTCGACGTTGGCTTCAGTGACACCATCACAGCCTTGCAGGGATGCTGCGTAAGCAGTAGCTGCTGCGTGGGTCAGCATAGCAGACCAGCGGTGCAGGAGAGCTGTGGACACCGCTTGTTGGAGGATTTGTGGGGTTTGTCTTGCCCGGCGGGCGAGGAGGCGTAGAAAGGTGCACGTTTCTTGGCTCCAGCGACCGCCAATTTCAAAGGCCAAAACGACTAAACGGCAACGGCCGCTGGCAACGAGTTCGGGGTAAACTCGCTCCTTGTTGCGGCGGGCATCCTGCAAAGCCGCCCCCGCATACCTCCCATTCCGCCGTCGGGGCTGCCCTTCCCGTGTGAGAGGAGAAACAAGTGTGGTGTCGACAGCGAGCTGGTGTCCTTGAAGGTGTCCAATTGTCTGGCAAAAGGTCCGCCGCATACACATTGGTGAAATACGACATCAACTTGGCATCCAGTGTGACGAACCTCCCCGAATCCTTCAATGCTTCAATGGCCAGGTCTGTTCTGAAAACCTCTCCGGTCCAATGAAACGTTAAATCAGGCTTAGAAGAAGCAGCAATTACGAACCCTCCAATTCCTATAATGCTCAGGTTGAGGAAATTTAAAAAATAAGGTCTGGGTCT